CTTGATAAGAAAAGGCTCTGGCTCCCATTGTACTTTTAGAGACACTAGGAACAACCAACAACCCTGCATTCTTGGAACGCAATGCCCTAGTAGGACAGTAGGGTATAATGAGTTCTTTAAGGTAAGATGGCGCCTGCCCATTAAGGGCTTTGTAGGCGAGAAGAAGAATTTTTAATTCTATCCTGTGTTCTATAGGGAGCCAGTGTAAGGCAGCCAGAACAGGAGTAATGTGGTCCCTTTTCCTAACTCTGGTTAGTACACGAGCTGCAGCATTTTGAATCAGCTGAAGCGACTTGACCGACTTCTTGGTACACCCTGATAATAAGGAGTTACAATAATCCAGCCTTGAAGTAACAAATGCATGGACTAGTTTCTCTGCATCGTTTTGAGGCAAGATATGCCTGATTTTTGCAATGTTACGTAGATGGAAGTAGGCGGTCCTTGAGATTGATTTTATGTGGGCGTTAAAGGATAAATCCTGATCAAATATAACACCAAGATTCCTGACAGTCTCACTGGAGGCCAAATTAATGCCATCCATAGTTAGTATATCCTTAGATAATTTGTTTCGTAGATTCTTCGGGCCAAGTACAATAACTTCAGTTTTGGTCGTGTTTAACATCAAAAAGTTTAAGGTCATCCACGTTTTTACGTCCTTGAGGCAGTCTTGAATTGTATTTAGATGGTTAATTTCATCAGGCTTGATTGATAAATATAGTTGAGTATCATCCGCATAACAATGACAATTTACAGAATGATTCCTTATAATATTGCCTAACGGAAGCATATATAACGTGAACAAAATAGGTCCGAGCACTGAGCCCTGTGGCACTCCATGGCTAACTTTGGTTTGCGTGGAAGATTGACACGTACAAACAGAGCGTTCAGATAGATAGGACCTAAACCAGCCTAAAGCAGTTCCCTGTATGCCAACTAAGTGCTCTAGTCTTTGCAATACGATATCATGGTCGATAGTATCAAATGCAGCACTGAGATCGAGCAAAACAAGAATAGAGACACGTCCCTTGTCAGAGGCTATTAGAATGTCATTTGTGACTTTAACCAGAGCTGTCTCTGTGCTATGATGTGTTCTAAAGCCAGACTGAAAATCTTCAAATAAATCATTGTTTTTTAAGTAATCAAACAACTGTTTTGCGACCGCTTTCTCAATAATTTTTGAGAGGAACGGAAGATTAGAAATAGGTCTATAATTGGCTAAAACCTCTGGATCGAGGTTGTGCTTTTTAAGAAGCGGTTTTATCACTGCTACTTTGAATGATTGTGGAACATAGCCTGATAATAAAGACATATTCATAATATTTAATAAAGAAGTGCTAATTAATTGAAAAACTTCCTTCAACAGCTTAGTTGGAATTGGGTCTAACATACACGTTGATGGTTTAGAAGAGAGAATCATTGAATTTAATTGTTCAAGGTTTATGGCTGAAAAGCATTCTAGTTTACTATCTAGTGTAATATTAGAACTTACGTTTCCGGGAGCTGTTGATAACACTATACTGGTCAAAGGCAAGAGGTCATTAATTTTGTTTCTAAGACTAACAATTTTATCGTTAAAAAAGCACATAAAATCATTACTACTGAGTGCTATGGGAATAGAAGGCTCAATCGAGCTGTGGCTCTCTGTCAGCCTGGCTACAGTGCTGAAAAGAAATCTTGCATTATTCTTATTCTCATCTATTAATGAAGAGTAGTAGGCTGCTCTCGCTTTACGCAGTGCTTTCTTATATTCATTGAGAGTAATATGCCAAGTGGTTCAATCAATCAATCTGGTGCACTTTGAGAGCAACATTAAGAGATCTATGGATACATCTCTCAACACCCATATGAAACAGAACTGTAAACACATTTTATTTTTCTTATATTTTACAAATCCCTCCCCTTTTAAACTGTATTCTTGTTTTGTCATATAGTATTTCACAACTGTTTTTCATGTATTCTCTCTGGCTGTCCATCTCATAATGTTCACATAGAAACTAGCTGTCAATAGTAATATCATTCAGAAGAATTATCATTTCATGTAAAAATCTGTCACAAAAAGAGGTTGCACATTTCAATTCAGGTGTTGTTATGGCAACGTCAGTGGCCAACAGCCACATTTACTGCTGCAAATGCGTTCAAACATGATGTTGACACGTAAAGCAGTGGCAACTATGCCACCATTTCAGCTGACTCTTTCTCAGAAATACTGTCACATAACATCCATATATTTCAATGCTAGGTTGATGCTTAGCTAACTATGAAACACTTTAACTGACAGGACTCAGGATCAACTGTGTACTGTAAGGTAGCTTCTAGCTTCATGTCGAACAGTAAGTCAACATTTCCCAGAGAGCTTTCTTTGAAATCACCAGGTAACGCTAAAAAACACAACATTTAGATTGTATGACAAAGTGTTTATTAATATATCTGGCTAGCTATAGCTACTTGCTAACGGTTTAGCTTGCCCCCGCGATTCAAAATAACTTCAACGTAGCTGTAATTTATGCTTTGCTTACATTTTCGCATAGCTTGGAAGTTTACTGACATTTACATACCTTGTTCACTTGGCTCAGGTGGTGGTTCTGGGGTTGTTGTGTGAGCCACCATTTGAGAATTGTATTTTTTAAGAAAAAATGCTCTTATGTCCATCTTCAAAAACTCTGAGTCCGACTGACAGTTTATTTTACACATTGTCACAGCTCACCGGATAGGTACCTGTCAGCCAATAAGACAGATGTTTATTTCCATTCAACGCTCTGGTTGGTCTGGTGTCTTGCCTCTGTTGCATTCATTGAACGCGGGAAATTACAATCCTGCCGTCCTCTCTAGTGTCATGATGAGGTTCAGGTAAAGCACGGTGAATGTATTATATGATTGACTCAATAAAATAATACATGACTTTGAGAGTAGGCAATCTAGGCATATTAACTAATTTAATTAAACATACTTATCACGGCGACGGTGTACTGAGATCATTTTTTTTTTATTTGCTAGGGGGCCCTTAGTGTTGCCGCTTATGTCGCTTAATGGGTCGGGCCAGCTCTGCTAACAAGTGTCTGAATGAGACAACTAAAGGTCAACACGTAGCCGTCTTTCGCTTAGCGCTGTTGCCGTGACGTGTCCGTGATGTTCCTTTGTAGCTTAACGTTAGCTTTTTACTTCTGGAGATTGCTTTTACGCTTTCACTTTTATAAAAGTGGTGTTACTACAGTATGTGGAACAATAGGTAAGTATGTAAAATGCATGTTTGCCACAGATCTTATTTTCTGCAATAATCCAAAATACAACGGAAACATCCCATTTCGCAGAGGGAACCAGGGAGAGGTCCAGGGTTGGCCTCGGAAAATATGTCCTCACTGCACCGCTCTATCAGAAGTCTTCACTAATACATGTGAGCTTTTATGTCATCCTGTCATCAGGCGCCCAATGTGCTTTTATAGCATCATCACAAGTCTCTTGCTCTCGGGTAAAAACTGTTCAGGCACAAGAACAGTTTTTACCCGAGAGCATAAGAGAACGTAATGTAAACTAGCTCTACAGACACATTGCAACTGCCCTGCACGTTTTCATCATCACATATTTATTCCTGCATTTATTTATTTCATTATTTACGAAGTGATCAACTCTGACATTTCAATACCTGTCTGTTTTCAAGCACTGTGATTTTAACTGCATTCATTTATCGTGTGTTTGTTTGTGCGTATATAAGTGTATAGATATATTATTAAAAATGTTTTGCTTGTTATTGCATATATAGATGTGCACTGATAGGATAGCTTTTTAAATGTTGTTGTGCCTGTACAATGACAATAAAGGAATCAGTTCAAGTCAGGTACTACATTTAATATTGACTTGAAATTGATGCATCACGATGGTGTCTAATCTAATTGCCTTATAAAGAGAGTCAATCACACTTTTTGATTCCACAGTTTTGGCTTGTGTGTCTTTGTCCTTTGGTGGATCCAGCCCCCACAGTCCAAAGACATTTGGATCAGGGGAAGAGTGAGTTTATACAATGAAATGTGACTGTTCATGAGCAGAAATGTGTTGGGCCCTCGAGTATTATTTCCCATACAGCAAATGTATTAAGAAACATTTTTATAAACTATTTGCACATCCCTTTTGGTTTTATGTTTTGAAAGATGATTTGCGTGTAGGTCATACTAATATATTTTAGTATATTATTGAAGAGTGAATGAGGGGAACGCTCTCAGTCAGCTGATTGAGATGAAAGAGGAAGAACAAGAATCTAAAAACGACTAAATGAGCAATGTCTCCCTCTTGGAACTTGTCAAAGTGTGAGTATTCATTTCACAACAGGACTCAGGTTTCAAAGGAGAAAGCCTGAAAACAAGCCAATTACATTACACGTAGTCATAGAGAAAGAATAAGTATTCAGATCTTCACTAGAATAAAAACACCAATAGCACTTTGTAGAAATATAAAAATAAAGGTCAGAATTCAACATCTTGAATGAGTGTGCCTAACATATCAAATGTTAAAATATTAAGCACTAATATTTCACTTATTATAACATTGTAGATTACTAACACTGTTGACTTTATACAACACAGTTAGGAAGTTCAGGTCAGTGGTGTCCAACCTGAGGTCGAGCCCCATCTGAAGGGTAACAAAATATATTTTAGGGCTGTGATGATTCATGTTTTAGGAGAAATTAAAATAGTTCTGATACATGAATATGTTTTTTACGTACTTTACCTGGGGGGGGAGAATAGTCCTGAGTGGAAGCATCTCTTTGGTGGGCCTGCTGACCCCGTGTAAACATCAAACATGTGAAAAGAAAACGTTAACAATTTCTCCAGTGAGATGAACTCAATTCACACGATGATACACAGCAATGCTCATGACAAGTGTTACAAGACTTTATGAAAATAAGGAATTGCATTGGTGTTTTCATAAGTATATATTACTATAGCACACAGCGGCATGGAACCTTTAAAATGATAAGTGAATGGAAAGAGAACGCATTAAAAAACATATTGTAGTTTCAAGGAATTTTATTCTTTACCGTAGCAACACTGTACATAAATTACTTTCTCTGAGACTAATATTGATGCACGGATAAGTGGAATTTCTCAAGCTTGAAAATAAAAAACATTGTCAACTTGTCTTTGAAAAAAGATTGGTGGCATATGACGTTAACGCTGTGTGAAGTTCCTGTTCTTTCCTTTAAAATGATTAAAGATGCCATCCCAACCTGGTAAACACACATACACACAAAGAAAACTCCAGATAAGAGTAGAGAGACCCACGATCAATGAGAAAACATCCACATCGATTTTTGATCTATCACTGTTACTCATTAAAGTCACTGATGGCAATGCACTGTCCCTTTAAGGAGAAACCAGCAACAACGAGGAGAGAAGCAACACTTAGTTCCTACCCACAACAACCCTCCCCCAAAGCCATGACAACATGTTTCTATTGCAAGCATTACTACTACCTTTGACCGATAAAAGCACAAGGTCGATGCATTATGAGGCTGAGTCCCATTCTGCAGAAGTGAAGGACCCCCGACTGAGGGTCCACAACCAATCAGAAACAGCCGAGCTGGCCTGTTTCCTCATAGACCGCTGCTGATTGTAGTCTGAAACTGTACATTTTTATAGACTTTGTAAGAGGACAGGGGATGAGAAGGAGTGGTTCAAACTGACCAACAGATAAGAGATAAGGAGGAAACAAAAACACAACTTAAAGTTTTGTTCAGTTCAGATCATGGTCCATTCCAGTGGTGGCGGTGATGGTGGTGTAATAAGAGTAGTAATAGTGGTATAGGTAATAGTATGTAAACATTTTTTGTTCATTTTTGAATCCCCTTTTTGTCTGAAGCAAATGCAAGTTAATATATAAAAACAAAACAAAAATCCAAACAGAAAATAAGTCTTTTTTTTCTCCTTCGTACAAATTGTAGTCTTTTTTTGTGTGCCTGTCTGTCTTAGAGAGTCCACATCAGTTCAACAGCAGTTCCAGCTCCTTCAGCCATGGGACAAGAGATCCTGTAGACACGGCTCACAGATGAGAAGCCTGCAACATCTGTGAGCGAGCACATTGTTCTGCGGACTGCTGACAGTTACAACTGTCTAAATGCTTAGAGATCACCTAGCTGTGACGGCTGTGGAAATGCTCCGTTGGCTAATTAAACAAGTCTCTACATCCCACAGGTTCACAGCTAGACGCACACGATTATATGAATCAGGTTAGTCCCGCCTACCAGAGAGAGGGGGAGGGGCATGCGTGCAGGCTGTTTAAAGGCAGACAACAGGGTAGATAGAAAGAAAATTTAGAAAGAAAAAGAAAGAGAGAAAAGGCAAAAGACTGAACTTTCCTGCAGCCTCATGACGACAGTTTTAAACCATCACATCTGTAGTTTCATTATGTTCCGTAATGATCTTCACTATAAATCCTTTCTTTTCACTTTTTGTTAGTCTGACAGTCATAGTGGGGTAGAAATGAGACATTGTGAGCCGTGTTACCTCCTCCCTATCTCACTCTGCCGTAGGAACTGCATGTTGTTAGCACTGTCAGCTAGCTCAGGGTACTGCTCTATGGACAACACGTAGTATCCGTCGAACCCTAAAACCTTCCCGCTGCTCAGCAGCTGCCGTTTCTCTCCCTCCGTCCACAGCCGGACTCCCTCCTCTCCGTCTCTGACCCGCTGCTGCTCGCGGGCCCAGGCGCTCGACAGCGCCCTCTGCCGGGCCTGCTCCAGGATCCGAGCCTTCTCCTCGTCCAGCGTGGTGCCGTAGCGCACGTGGAGCGCCAGAGAGCCGTACTGCAGCTCCACGTCAGCAAAGCGCCGCGTCCTCCCGTTCATCACCGTGGTGGACTGCGACACCGTGACATTCACACCGTTCTCCAGCGACTTCCTGCCTGAGGTGAGCCGCAGCGCGCTGAGGTCGTTCTCCGGCAGGCTGGTCTTGATGAAGTAGTGTGTGTCCCGGCCCTCCACGGTGTAGTGCAGGTCTTCAAGGTAGAAGGCGTTGTTTAAGACTGCAGCCACCTTGATGCAGTCCTCATTGGCAATGTTGAGGGCGTTGGTCACCACGCGGCCTTGGATCACAGCGAGCATCACTCCCCTGCCGATCAGAGACCTGACGGTGGCGAACCACAGCCAGGGTTTGGTGTGGTCTGAGTGCCGCCGACTCAGCTGGATTTCTGGCATCCGCTCAAAGGACAGGAAGGCCTGAGACTGACGGGTCACCTCCTGCTGGACCCCCGAGATGGACTGCAGACGAGAAAAAGAGATATTCTTCATACTTTATTTACTGCTTGCTATTTACGACATCATGGACAAGGTTGGGGGTTCGATCCTAGCCTCTGCAGTCAACATGTCGATGTTGGGCAAGATACCTAATCCCAAGTTGCTCCAAATGGCATGGCCAACGGTGTGTGAGTGTGTGGGCTTAGCCTCCCTGAGCAGGTGCTGGATAACTGCTGACTTTGACTGGCCATAAAGACTGGAAAAGCATTACACAAATGCAGTTCATTTACTTTTTACCAAGTACATCCTAAAGCAGTGCTTCTCAAAGTGTGGTCCGCGGACCACTGGTGGTCCGTGAGCGCCCCCTAGTGGTCCGTGAGTATATTGGTAAAATTTCACATTTGAAATAAATTAATCTATTTAAGTTTTCCGCACTCTCGCGGGAATATCTCCGCAATGGAGCGAGCTTAAGTTTCCCTTTCAATTGCATGATATAGCCCAGCGCAACACCTTCGTCACACATGTTGCCACCTGTTTGTACCATTTTCAGGTGATTTGTAATCTGTTCTAGAAAAACGATGTGTTTTTGGATATTTGTGGAGTTAGGTGGTCCGCGAGTGTTTTTTAATTGGTTAAGTGGTCCTTGGTATGACAAAGTTTGAGAAACACTGTCCTAAAGCAAGCTTTCTTGCATCGAGACTGAATGTGCAGCTTGTCTTCATGTCATTCATTTAGGGGAGGTCAGCAGCTCTGACAACATGACGATAGGCGTACGTTATTTTGGTTAAAGTAGTCCATATCATTTGGTTTTCTTGTGCCCTGATAACAGACTGATATCCTGTGGGCAGTCAGGAGCAGCGATACACTGAGGAGAGAACCGAGGCGCTGTGTATTCTCTAGCTATATAACTAAAGACAACTAAGAGTTTGAATCAGATTCTCTGCAGGTGTATGTTACATAATGTGATATACAGTATTTGTATTACTGTTTAGTTCTCCCTCCCCGAGTCAGGGGGGGTAAATGTGATGTCTGGCTGAATCTATTGATAGTGATCAGTTGCTGTATGACTAGTGCATTTGCTCACGGAAATAAGACAGATATAGGTACAGAGTACCAGTTGACAAGGTGATAAATGAACAGACTCACAAAATAAGGGGAGACTATATATATGAGGATAAAATAACTGTTTGATCTCAAAAGGATTTGTTTCCTGCAAACACACAGTGTGTAAAGTGTCTTTTTGTCTGTGTGTGTACTGTATGTGTAGCTTCTGATTTCCCCAAAGGCCCACACTGAACTAATTAGTCGAGTTCATTAAATAATGCTGTCAGTCAGTTTGTGTTTTCCTGTTCTTTTTCAGCCTCCTTTGTCTCTCCCTATCCTGACCATTTATATGTTCTGCCGTCACTCGTCACACAGAAGGGACTGAGACTCCTTCCATCTTTCTGTCACAGGACTCATACTCACAGGCAGGTCGTCCCACAGCTGGCTCTTCTTCATCTCCAGTGACGGCTGCGTCAGGTCAAATTTAGGAATGGGGTACCCTGGGATTGCGTTGTGGAGATGGAATCCAAACGTAACCAACCAGATATTGACATCTACAAGAGAAGAAAGTGATGTGAACAATCAAAGAAGAAAAATTACAAGGCATGTTAACAAACCGTAATAATAAAGATGCCTGCTTATTATTTTTATTATACCTCCTTGCAATTTTGACTGGTGTTCCTTTTTTTAAATCCTTGTTGCAGCATGTTACCATAATCTGTCATTTCGCAGCTTCAAATTAATACAATTCAAAAAAGATCTGACCCAACTGAAGTACTTGATCAATTCAGATCTCCAGAGTAAGGTTACTTTTCCTTTTTGGCACCATACTGTTCACTTTAAGAACATTTTTCTTTCTTAGAGTGAATAAATAAAGCACTACTACCAATCTTCACCTATTACTACCAAACTATGGTGGAAAGAAACAGGGAGACCTGATTGATTATTAGTTTGCATCACTATTCTGTTTGATATAATTGATTTGAAATCATTCATAAAACCCCCACTTGAGGCTGATAAAATACAACATACAAATATAGTTCTATTAAATGTGTTCTAGCGACATCCACTCCAAGCAAAACCAGATTATTGTTGGGATTTCTTTATGATTTAAAATCAGCTAGCTCAATACAAATATGTTAGTTAAGTTGTTGTATTTATGTTAAGTATAGTACTAGCCACCTTGAATGTAAGGGGCAGGATAGCTCTACTTCTTCTGATAGAAAACAGTTCTATCTACCTCTTTGGTATTTTTGTACTGTAAAATCAATGTTTTCTGGTTACCTGTGACATACTCTTTGACCTGGTGAATCTTGCTGATGGGGTTGTTGCCTCTGAACATGTAGAGGTTGAAGGGCTGGGGGTCTTTACCAACACGTGTCCATGTGCTGATGTCAGGAGTGGTCCACCTTCAGAAAAAACACTCTGGTCAGAGGTGAAGATAACAAAGCTGCAGAGCATCCTGCTGGAGGAGAACTGTGCATGTGTGGAGAGGAAGTGAGTGCGCACCTTCCAGCAGGGATGTCGTAGTCTCTGTCTCCGAAGTGCAGCAGCCGTGTGAGAGGATCATACAGACCTCCGTGGAAACCAATCACCAGCACAAAGTCTGGGTTGGAATCAAAGTACACCTCCCCATACGCCGTGTACTGCACCTACACACAAACACACATTCAGCACGTGATATGGAGACCAACCATTGCAAACATTGAATTTGAACAGACACACAATGTAAGCTCAGGACATTTCATTATTTGCAAGGAAAAAAGGTACACACATACCTGTTTAAGCAATAGTCCATTGCTGCTGAAGACAGCCAGCGGGGTCCCAGTGTTATCACAGGCAATGTAGAACTCCTCTCCACTGCTGATCTCCATGGCAAACACATGGCCCTGTACAGCAATACATAACGTATTATACATATACACCTTTTATTAATATTTTGCAAACAAATTATAATTGTATGCTCTTGTGTGCAAACACTTTCCTCATTGTTAGACAACTCTTTTACACTATCCTCAATTTATTTACCTATGAGATTAGTACATTACTCTAGTCTTAATGAGTAAAGTTAGACTCTTTTTATATACTGACTGACATCACAAAATGTCACTATACTTGTCTAATTTGTGCCAACTCAGTGTGTTTCGTATCATATCCGCATTTTCCGAATGTTTTTTGAGAAGCTACCTGCAGATCGTAGTAAAAGGATGTGATCTCGGAGCTGGAGTGGTTGTAGACGTGGGTGATCCTGGTGGGGTAGTTCAGGTCAGCGTAGAAGAACTGAAGGTGTTGGCCCAGACTGTTTCTGGACGCCACTCGCCGACCAAGACCATCGTACCGGTACTGGATGGTCCAGCTGGCCGCTTTACTGTACACACGAACTAGGAGCCCTGAATGACAGATGATACAAAAAGATGCTTAGATGTTTCTGTTGAAACATACTATATGTAGGATTTATACATTGAATACTGAAACCCCAATTGGTGGTATTAATTTGATTTATACATTGTTACATTTGACTTAAAGGTCCCATGTCATGCTTTTCCAGTTATTACCCGTCCCCTTGTGTGTTATGAAGGTTTTTCTGCATGTAAACGGTCTGCAGAGTCAAAAACTCTCAAAGTACACCCTGTAGGGAGCAAAACTCTAACACAGAAAAGACCTGTCTATGCTGCCGCAGAACGCCTCGTTGGAGATTTCTCATGTTCTTCCTGGGCATCGTGACGTCTGGATACCCAGTAGCCACGCCCAGAGCTATATACCCTCTGCCAGCCAAGCATATAAAGTGGCGAAGTCCCTCACCTTCCGGGGGAGCTCCATGGGACCTTATTTCGGAAAAATTATGTATTGAAGTCAATGAAGAGAGAAAGATTATCTTTTGATCCTGTTTAAATTGTGCCATGAATTACACATATGATGTTTGTTAATTTAAAAGATAATTTTGCAAGTCAAAAGAATTAAAATGTGTCGTAAAACTGTGAAGTAACACATTTGTTTGTGTGAAACGCTCAATGAACTACATCTCTGGTCTTGCATATGTCACCAACAACACACGTCACCAAGATGGCCGTCACTACTGTCTTGTCAACAAAAGGATTGACTACCCTCACTATCACCACTAACACACGTCACCAAGATGGCCGTCACTACTGTCTTGTCAATAAAAGGATTGACTACCCTCACTATCACACGTCACCAAGATGGCCGTCACTACTGTCTTGTCAACAAAAGGATTGACTACCCTCACTATCACCACTAACACACGTCACCAAGATGGCCGTCACTACTGTCTTGTCAACAAAAGGATTGACTACCCTCACTAACACACGTCACCAAGATGGCCGTCACTACTGTCTTGTCAACAAAAGGATTGACTACCCTCACTATCACACGTCACCAAGATGGCCGTCACTACTGTCTTGTCAACAAAAGGATTGACTACCCTCACTAACACACGTCACCAAGATGGCCGTCACTACTGTCTTGTCAACAAAAGGATTGACTACCCTCACTATCACACGTCACCAAGATGGCCGTCACTACTGTCTTGTCAACAAAAGGATTGACTACCCTCACTATCACCACTGTTACGTGCCGCAGTGTTTGTGTGGTCGTGTGTGTGTGTTTCTCTCTCTCCCTCTGACTCCCCAGGTGCAGCCTGATTGTCCCCAGGTGCGCTCCTAATTCCAAATCAGGGCCTCCATATAGGACCGGAGGAAGACTGCAGTGGGGTCTCCTTTTTTCCTCCCATGGCTGCATGTGTGCAGACCTGTGTCTTGCCGATTAATAGGAGGGGAGCTCCGTGATATATCGATGCTGTATTATTCTGTGCAAGTTGGCTGGTGAGCCCGTGTTCCTGTCGTGTTCATTAAACGACTTGTTCGTTACTCAGAGATCGGTTTTCTCTCCTTTTTGTCGTGCTTGGTCATCCTTGTGTGTTGTTACTTCCCTTTGTACCCCCTAGATTTAGAAGGGAACGTGACATGGCGGCTCGTCCAATCTTTCAGAAAAATAGTGAGTATTTGTTTGTGGTTTAGTGTTGATATTGTGTTTGGTAGCATTGACTTCCTCAGTTTAGACAGGGGAGTGTCTAGCTGGGCTGAATCAGTCCTTCCTTCAGGCACTCATTTTTTATTTTGCCTTTTTTATTTTCGGGGTAATCCTGGGTGGGGATTTATTCCCTGTTGGGGGCAGGCGATTTAGGGTTTCGGCCGCTGATGTTTGCCTTTAAAGTCGCCTCGAGCCCGGCACGCCCCAGAAGATAGTTAGGTAAGTTTGGTAGGCAGGATCTGGGGAAGTTTGTAAAAAAATAAAATAATAATAATAATAATAAAAAATAAATATATATATTTGTAAGTAGCCGTTGCTAAGGATGGCTTTTGTTTTGGAGCAGTTTGTGGCCAGTCCTACTGTGGGTCAGCTAGACTGCTGTAGGAAGGTTGATTTGCGGTTAGTTGCTGACCATTATCACGTTTCTGTCTCCTCTGCTCTTGTTAAAAGTGAACTCAAGGCTACTTTGCTAACTGGACTAGTTGAACAGGGGGTTTTTGAGTCGGCCTACTTTAGTGGAATCTCCTGGCACGGTGGCCGGGGCTGTAGCAGCAGTATCTCATGGTGGAGGCCGCATTGGTGTTACTCCTGGTATTCAGAGTGCTACGGAACAGGCAAAACTTTTCACCACACCTCAGTTTGGCTCGTTCTCGGCAGGATCTTCACCTACGGGGTCTAAATTAGATGCCAGGGTAAAAGTGCGTATGGCTCGTCTCCAGTGTGAGAGGGAGGAGTGTGATAGGGATTTTCAGCTCAGGAGGGAGCTGGAGATCAGGAAGCAGGAGCTGGAAATCAGGAAGTTGGAGGCAGACACTGCTGTCCGGATGCATTAGCTAGAGCTCCAAGCAGCTGTGGTGGGTGATTCTTCAGTTACACCTTCTGCTCCTGCTGCCTCCTTTGACGTGAGCAGGCATATTTCTTTGGTCCCTGTGTTTCGTGAATCAGAGGTGGAAGTCTATTTTGGTGCATTTGAGCACATTGCTGCTGCCCTGCACTGGCCAGAAGATGTGTGGGCTATTCTTTTACAGTGCAAGCTAGTCGGCAAGGCTCAAGAGGCTTGCTCTTCTCTTTCTGTCGAGGATAGTTTGGAGTATGACAATGTGAAAGGTGCTGTTCTCAGGGCATATGAGCTTGTGCCTGAGGCCTACAGGCAGCGTTTTCGCGGCCTGAAGAAAACTTCTGGCCAAACGTACGTGGACTTCGCGAGGGAGAAGAAAGTCCTCTTTGACAGGTGGTGTAGAGCGTGTAAAGCGGATGACATTGCTTCAGTGTGTGTGAGCTGATGATGTTAGAGGAGTTTAAAAACTGTGTACCGGAGCGTACGGTAGTCTATTTGAATGAGCAGAAAGTGACTACCCTTCAGCAGGCTGCCACTCTGGCAGACGAGTTTGCGCTGATACACAAGAGCGTTTTTTTTCAGCGGGACACTTATCGTAGAGATCCTGACAATTACGTTCCCGGTGCCAGTGTTCCATTGTTAGGTCCCAGGATAAACAGAGCTTGTTATTTTTGTCTTGACCCAGGTCATATGATAGCAGACTGTGCAGCTTGGAAGAGAAAGCAGACAGCGGATGGCAAGCGCCCAGAAGGGGTGGGTTTGGTTACAACAGTGTGTCCTAGTGGACTGTTAACAAAGGGCCTGATGAGTGTTTGAAACCGTTCATCTCTACTGCCTTTGTCTCTCTGTCAGGAAAGGTGGAGGACCAGCGGCAGGTCACGGTGTTGCGAGACAGTGGTGGCTCACAGTCATTCATCCTTGCCGGTGCCCTGCCCCTGAGTGCTGAGTCTGCCTGTGATGCGGATATGGTGGTGAGAGGTATTGAAATGGGTTCTGTGCCCGCACATCTTCACAATGTCCATGTCCAGTCTGAACTGGCTACTGGTTTCTTTCCAGTTGCTGTGCTCCCCAAATTTCCTGTCGACGGTGTGGATGTCATAATGGGTAATGATATAGCCGGGGATAAAGTCTATCCTCAGGGCAATTATCCTCACTGTAGGGCTCGTAACAGACGTGTTACACGTGCTCATTCTGTTTCTCTCCCAGGTCCCGACACTAAGAGATTGTGTTTCTCTTGTCTTGACCCTGGTCATTTAGTGGCGGAGTGTGTGGCTTGGAAGCAGCAGGTGGCAGCTTCCAAGCATTCAATAGTATGCTTGTGAACTAGGTAATGAGTGTTGTTGGTAACTGTGACCAAACACTTGTTTGGTTTTATGGGGGGGAAGTGTTACGTGCCGCAGTGTTTGTGTGGTCGTGTGTGTTTTTCTCTCTCTCCCTCTGGCTCCCCAGGTGCAGCCTGATTGTCCCCAGGTGCAGCCTCTCCCCAGGTGCTCCTAATTCCAAATCAGGGCCTCCATATAGGACCGGAGGAAGACTGCAGTGGGGTCTCCTTTTTTCCTCCCATGGCTGCATGTGTGCAGACCTGTGTCTTGCCGATTGATAGGAGGGGAGCTCCGTGATATATTTATGCTGTATTATTCTGTGCAAGTGGGCTGGTGAGCCCGTGTTCCTGTCGTGTTCATTAAACGACTTGTTCGTTACTCAGAGATCGGTTTTCTCTCCTTTTTTGTCGTGCTTGGTCATCCTTGTGTGTTGTTACTTCCCTTTGTACCCCCTAGATTTAGAAGGGAACGTAACAACCACAATGAAACACGTCCAGAAGAATGTCATGCAAAGCTGCCTGCTGCCTTCCTTTGATTCTCTCTGAACTGCCTGATCTTTTTAATATTGAATGTCAACCATTTGTGCAGATAGCATGAAGTAGAAAAGATCGGCGATCGCCGATGCTAATGTAGCGTTAGCATTTCTCCCCCGGGCTTAAATGGTGTATTATAGAATGATCACACCGGTGTGACAGTACTCTTCAAAGGGTTCACGAAATACGACTAGCCTACTACTCTTACTGTTTAACATTTTGGGTTACTTAATGTTACTTCATATTAAGGCTAATAAAAATGACAAGGCTAAGACGGTAATGCTAACTAACGTGCTAGCTACTAGCTAGGTAGCTAACTTAATCCAGCCACTCCTGGTCCTTTCATCAGGCGGGAAGCAAAAGAACGAGCAAGACCCATTGCTGGTATGATAACAACCTGGTACTAAGCACACAGGCATCTTGTTAAAGTTATCTTATCTTAGCTGATCTTAGCTATCTCTTATATTTAGCGGAGGAAAACAATTGTAACATCAGTTATGACATCTCTTACGCGACTCTGGGATTTGTAGTCTTTCTAGTTGCGTATTTTTCATTTCAACAGTTTTACGACAAACTGTGACTTTTTTTACATGGAAATGATTTGTTAAGATTGACAAACATCATGTGTAATTCATGGCACAATTCAAACGGGATCGAAAGATACGTTTTGTCTCTCCATTGACTTCGATAGAGTGGCGAAGTCACACCCATCTACTTCTGGTCCATGGGACCTTATTTCGGAAAAATTATGTATTGAAGTCAATAGAGAGAGAAAACGTATCTTTCGATCCCGTTTGAACCGCTCAGAGCCAAAAAAACACTGTGTTAGACATGGGCGGAGCCACTCTGGTGGTTGACTAATCAGAACAGAGTGGCCGAGCTGACCAATCGGAGCACACTGGGCTCACAGGGAGGGGGGGCAGGAGCTCGAACAAGCCGTTTAGGACAGAGTGAATACCGGTGAATACACATACTTTACAGAGATGCTGTATGAGAAACCAATGTGAGTTTGGAAAATTGCACGGTATAAATCTATTTTAGTAGACCTCAACAATGGAATTATTATCAGTGGAAATGGCCATGACATGGGACCTTTAAATGTTGAATACCCCCCCCCCCCCCAAAAAACAACTAAAAGAACTAGGGTTAAGGCTCTTTGATGATATCATTCAACAAGAAATTATGCAGATAAGTGTAGTAATTTAATTGGAATTACCAAATCACATGCCAAGTAAAGTCAAGTGGGACTTTGTGTCAAGTTTTTAGACTTTAGAAAGCACAAAATGATAGACTACAATCCATCCGAGAATAAACTGCTCCACAGAGAGCGAATGTTTTAAGAGAAGAATAAACTGAGAAATTGTGGTCTTATTACCGACCTAGCTCCCAAGCCTTTCCACTGACTCACTTAGCATGCTAGCAGTCCGACACACATCTTTAGACTATGCCTTTGGTAAGCCTGTCATTGGCTGCTTATTTCTGTCTGTTTCTCCTCCCCTCAGCTATTTTTGGTTGAACTTGGCTGTCAGGTTCTGGTTTGACTGGGCCTTTATGCTGCTATGTTGGACCACCAAACAATGAATCTGACCTTTGGAGTTGTATTCAAATATCTCAGCTCCTCTCTGCCTCAGGAAGCCGTCTTCATCCATCCGGTACTGAACATCTCCCAGACGGGTGATTCTGTCCCTCAGGTCGTAGCGTAGCGGGGTCAGACGACCACTGTTGCCCGGGTTCAGCAAATGCAGGTTCCCATTCAGGTCATAATTATATCTGGAAGGTCAGACAATTATATTATTACATTTGGCATCTTCAAATGATATCTTCTATTTCAGTTTAATCGTCTGATCCTACCTCCACATCATCTTCTCGTTGAGGGAGACCGTCTGTAGCTGTCCATCAACGTCATACTCGTATCCATATTTGGTTGTGTTGGCAAATGGTCCAATCTTGATCTCCCGCTTGGTGACTCGGCCCATGTTGTCGTACTGAATGGTGATCCAGTACATCAGAGACCTGAAGATCTCATACTGGATCTCCTTGATGCGGCCGTGCTGGTCGAAGTGTTTGGTGTATGTCATCACTGCTGTGGAGATGATCTGAGGAGCAGGAAGACAGAAAACAAGCTTTCAGTTCCTACGCTGACAGGAAGCTGACGGAGCAGACAGGACACGGACATGTACAGCCAAACAAGCTCCGTTCAGGGAGATGTTCCTCTCCTGCTTTGTAGAAGACTCTGACAACCAGATGTATTTATTGAATTCAAGCTGTTCATCAGGCAGACTCACTCCTGTCATTTCATTAAAAGGTTATTTAACATTTATTTGATAACTCTCAGTGAGTAGGAGATGTATTTTGAGAGGTATTTGTTATCTGTGGTAGTAAGTATAGAGAGTAAACCTGATATCTAAACACCTCCACTACCTGGGAGACATCCTGCTCCTAATTACAAGTAGGTGCAATAAAATAAACATTTCAACTGAATATATTTGATTGTATCTAATTGAATGAAAGTCCACATTACTCTCTGTCTAGTTGTCTTCTCATGGTTCAGTGTTTGCATTCCAAAACAAACATTAACTTGTGCTTATTGTGATTTATTGAGTTCTCTAACAGATCTCGTTTGCATCGTAAACAATATGAATACAATTGATATGTACATTTATTGGTCACTGTTCCTGAGGGATGCATTTAACGTGTAATTTGCATAACATAATGCTGTCAAATACATCATTATGTCATAACATTTGTAATATAAAAAAGGATGTGATGTTCTGATGATCTCCACCAATGAGTTGCTCTCAATACCAGAGGAAGCTGAAACAGTCACATGATGAGTTTCACCTGCAGGCCAATGTCCATCCCACATGTCTAATCAATTATTGAATCATCAAAGCATCACCTCTTAACAACTGACCCACCTTATCAGGATTTATAGACAACATTTTATTCATAAAGAAGAAATGTAAGGCCATTTAATTCATTGCAGGCACTCCAGTCTTACCTGATTGATATCATAATAGATGACTCCAAACTTCCCAAACTGCTCCACCTTCCCAGATATATCATCAAACTGGTACAGGTCGATGGGCAGCGGCGTCTCGTTGATCACAGCCTGCATGCTGGTCACTCTGAAGCTGTTGTCGTACGTGTAGTCGAAGCGAGCGTTCACCATGCCGTCCTCGCTGAAGCGGAAGATTTGCCGGTCGACCAGAGGGCCGATCTGCCGGTACCTGATGGAGCAGATGAAGCCTTCGCTCTGCAGGTTGACGGTCTTAAGAACACCAGCTGTCTCATCATACGTGAAACTGACCCGAGTGGAGTCATAGAGGATCTCTGCCAGCTTGTTCTGATGACACAGGAAACACAGCAGGATGTGTTTACAATAATGGACATTGGAGGATATCTGCTCCACTCTCAGTTCACTTCAATGAGTGCCATCAACTTCAACCTGAGTGGTGTACTGAAGCTGTGCAGCTGCTCAGGCCCAGTGCCTCAGCACCACCCTCACCCTGACACCACTTTCACACTAAACACAGTGATGATGCAAAAATAGATCATGCTTTCCATTTCCTCTTTATTTATTGGACTGTCCTGTTCAAGAACATTAGCTGAAAAAAAAACACAAATTAAATCAAATCAAATAATAAATAGTTTTCGTTTACGTTGTTGAGAATTTTTTATTTTGATGACCTACTGTATGCATGGGTCAACATACAAATACGTTAGTAAATTGAAAAAGCACGGAAAGCACGTACCTGTCTGCGATATTTGTACAGTATACGGCGGCCCGTGCCTAGATGGGCAATTCGGAGGAGCTGGAGAGAGAGGGAACAGCACTTCAGTTTTAGTTCCATAACATATAATACTCATCACAGAAAAACCTCATAACCACCAGCCATCAGCAGAAGTAATGAAATATAAAAGATGAAGACAAAAAATGATAGGATTTTAAAATATTGCAGATTTTATTACACACACCTGTCCATCTTCAGAGTAGTCCACAGTCACAGAGGCGTTGCTCTCTGGGGGGTTGTAGATGTTCCTGTAGTACCCTATGGATCGGAGGGTCTGCATGGTGTGTCGAGCCACGCTAGGCATGGTTACCGCGGACAGACGGTCCCCGGAGTCAAAGTCAAAGATGTACTGGTGCTGGCTGTGCAGCAGCAACACCATGGACTGTCAGAGAGAGAGAGAGGGGGGGGGGGGAACACAATGTCAGAGCAGCCCAACAGAGAGAGAAGAGCACAATGAGACAACTTACACCTGTGACACATATCCACAGAAAGTTTTGAAAGGGTGTCACCTGCACAGACACTGGGACGTCCACACCAGTCCACATCATAAATACACTATTTGGTAGTACATATTTTTACAGCTTCTATTAGAGGAATATCTTGATATTTCTGTGCCATCTGCCGGGGTTGTGTGCCCCACTGGACCTTTTGCAAAATCCCACCTGCATGAGAGTGAGACAGCTGCTTTGCATTTCAAGTAGTGTTTTGATTGCAGCTCTGAGGGGAAATGAGCAGCTAGCTAACAGCAGCTAGCTGAGGCTTATGAGGAGTCTGTGCATGTGTGTGTTCTAGAACATCCAGATCCATCCATAGCCAGGCTTGGGGAGTAAAGTATTACATGTAACGATATTACTTAATCAGGATACAAAAAATGGTATCTGAATTAGATTACTATTACATTTAAAAAACAAGTAATCAGATTGCTGTTACATTCCAAAAAGTAGAGATTACCAGCAGTATTACAGTGTTAGAATACATTTAGAAATAAAGATAGATATATTATGGGATGTCCTGAATACATTTTCTTTATGGTTTATATTATGCTTTCATCATGTGAACATTAAGTTTAAAAACAGCATTTGTAAACTCTAACTACATTTTCTATATGAAACATACGGTGGCCGGCAGGTGCAAACGCGGAACAATGGGCAACAACGCATACATAAGCAGGAAACAGCTGCAAATAATGAAATGAAAAACAAACAAACTCTGAAAACAAATTAAACGCTGCATTTACAGAAATGATGCAAACTAAATACAACACACAAACCCCGAAAACAAACACAACAGAAAAACGCTGCAAATACAAAAACGATATGCAAAGCCCAAAACACACAATGCTCCAGGCCTCTAGGGGGCGCGTTACGTGGAACAGATTGATGTCTGACCAGACATACTGGCCGTTTCTCAATCTCGAGGAAACTGGCTTCCAAGCCAATATTTCAAGGATGCTACGTTATCAAGTGGCGCAGCAGGACCGTTCCAATGTCCAGCATACTTGGAATTCCACCTAGGCCGCGTTCTTGGTTTGGGGGAAATTTCGAGGCTGCACATGGGTAGACTTCGCGTCCTTAAAATCCCCTCAATGCTTTGCGCACGGACCAATTTCACAAACCCTTGCGGAGAATGGCTGAACCGACGCAGCACACATTGAAATGTAAGTATGTAGTGGCGTAGAACATGTGTTGGTAAATATGTTACTTTGTTACATTTGTTATCACCAAAAATGTGTTCCATGAAAGTAAAGCAAGTTCATAATTAGATAGACATCGTGAGGTATTTATTTTCGGTACAGTTTATGTTGAAACCGTTAGAGAGAGTGGCACACTTGTTAGTCTGTTACATTTTTCTTCGTTTTCCGAAGCCGTGGCTTTGAAGCATACTTGCTTCGTTTCTGAAGGAAGTGACTTGGAAGTACGCGACTACCAAGCCAGCATCCTCGAGATTGAGGAACGGCCACTGTCGAGAGAACGAACGAGAGGGATGGAAATTGAAGCCGGAGGAAACTAAGGCCCAATCCCAAATCACCCCCTCGACCCTACCCCTCCGTGACGGAGTGAACTCGTCTGTAGCCACACTCGCAGCTGAATGAAGTTCCCTCCATTAAGGGTTAAGGGTATAAATACAGCAGCAAGCTTTGGGACGGCCTCTCCTCTCTCCGGCAGAAACAGGAAATGCCGTAACTGTATGTAACAACGGTTTCAAATCAGCTTCTCTTTGACAAAAAATGTAAATGAATAACTCAAATAAAACTCCAAACATCTTTCATTGTGTCACTTTTTTGTAAAGCTCTTTTAGTTTTAAACCTGATGTTTATAATCTTCTTAGTTTTTGCAACAGTCAGTAAATATAGACAACTTTATAATAAAATGCACACATTTACCTTTTTCTAGACTAAACACAGGTATGATCCTAAGTTAAAAACATATGAGGTTATCATGAGGTTGTTAACATGCAGTTTATCAGTGGATGTTTGCTGGAACTACTTGTAAACAGCGTGTTTCCTGACGGACACACACAGCGTGACTCCGGTCAGGTAGAGACCGGTCTCAAGTCAGCACCGATGCAGACTCGCTGTTTGAGGGCTTGATAGCCCACTCCCCCTCCACACCGCTCCACACTCGTTGCTTTGGAACAGCACTTAATATGGCGGACCCTCCGCCATAACGGAGGGGTAGGGGGTAGGGTGTAGGGTGTAGGGGGCTGTTTGGGATTGGGCCAAAGTTGATCGAAGTGGACAAAGTCGATATATAAGAAGGTAAGTTTTGTTTTGATACAAAGAGCGTCATATTTACCCAGCTAGTGTTAGGTAGGGTAGGTAAGAATGGAGAAACCATCTCGAGTGCGCTAGAATTTGAAAGTACGCAGCCGAAAAACATCTGCCCCTTCCTTCAGACTTCCTCACAGAGCCCCTCCTCCAACACACAGGAACGCGCACATGACCAATGAGGGCACGAGATAAGTTTGTGCACAGATGGCAGGCTGACAGGCAGGTAGGCCATCCAGTTACTTTAGCCGGGTCGGCTCAGATGATTGGTCGTGCTTTTTACTGTACCACGGCTTCCACAGATGACATTTAATTTATTTTCTGTCAAAGCACTTCATATATTCATTGCTATCGGGATGTTAAGAGCATAGATGTTATTCAATCATAATTATGAACTGTATTGTATTCATGTGTTGCTCTGTCTGCCAGAGTGTGGTCCGGGTGATTGTGCGTTTGTGCAGTTTGTAGAACTGGACCACAGGTGGAGATGTTATTGCACAGCACAATCAAAAGCACAAGACAGCAAGGACAGTTATGAAATGATTTTGAAAAGAGGCTGTACATTTTCAGCCAACCTCCAGGAAAAAAGGCAAACATTCCCTATGATAAGCAGACTTGGCAGCACACACTCAACATGACACAGAATGTTTGCTGGACCTCTATAACGACCCACTGCCCTGCTCCTTCATTTGTCCCTTGGCTGATTTCTGAGCTGCTCTGGCATCGGGGCCTGAGGCTTAGCATGCAGAACTCTGCAGGATGAACAGACTGGACTATTTTCTAGTATTAAGTAACATCAATTTTCTCCAGTGTGTTCAAAACAAAATGCAAAGCCATCCCAGCAGGACCCTCCTGCACTGTCAGTGGTCGACAATAATTCTGAAGCGCGAGAAGGATGCAGATCTAATCTCCAATTTGCTCCTTTCTGTCCGTTGGTGTGCGTCGGGCCGGTGCGCTCACAGAGGTCTCTACGTTTGTTTGTTTCTTCTCTTATATTTCCCTTTTCTCCTTCAAACTCCTTTGATTACATTTATACTCCATGAATGAATCGGTCTTACCAGATGACGTAGACACAGGTAGAAAGTAGTCAAATTAAAATAAACAACTTAAATTGACTCTAAAATCTCCTTCCCCTCCTCTGGGGGAAGTAATACTGAGCATTTTTGCAAACTTGTTTCAAACTCTACACTCAACACAGCGATGATGCAAAATATATATTTATATTTCTACTCTAGTTATCTGACTGACTGTCCAACAACATTAGATGGAAAATAAATAAATCTAAATATTTAATTTAGTTTAGGTTGAATGATTTATTCTAATTACAATTGTCATAACTAAGAAGGGATACGTTGATACTACTATGATACAATTACAGATATAAAACATGGTATAAATAAGTACAAACATAGGTTCAGTGGTGTAAAGTAATTACAGTAAGTAGATTTAGATTTGTACTGTACTTACTTGATTATTTAAATATTGTTGCTACTTCGTACTTCTACTCCACTACAGTTCAGAGGTACATGGTGTACTTTTACTCCACTACATGTATTTAATACCTTTAGTTACTTCACAGATGTGGATGAATGATGTGAAATCTAATCAAGTGTTGAATCAGACTTTAGTTCCACCTGGAGTAAATCCACCAGCTACCCTGCAGTATACAAAGTCATTCAAACTAGCTGCACCTTTACCAGCTTTGAGAACACTTTCATGATCTATAGCCGCTTTCACACCAAGTACTTTGCCGTACTTAGTGCCAGCACTTAGTACCCCAGGGCACTAAGTACAGATCGCGTTCACACCGGAATAAGTCCCTGGGGAAGGATTAGGCAAATGAAGCCGCTGACGTCACTTCTTCTTCTTCTGCTTTGGGTTTACTGGCAGGCCGCAAACCACTTCACAGCATATACTGCCACCCGAAGTCCCCGGCCCGAAGTCCCCGGCCCGAAGTCCCCGGCCCGAAGTCCCCGGCCCGAAGTCCCCGGAGTTGGACTCATATTATTCTGAAATGGACCAATCTGCACAACGACTACTTTTACTTCATGCTCTTACATGTATAAAAATCGGATGAAATAATAACCATAATAATAATAGAACTGTGAGAAGATCCATTCTGCATGACGAGTGTACTTTTGTACTTTTACTTGAGAACAATTTTGAAATCAGGACTTTTAATGATAAAGGAGTATTTTAAGACCCTAATATTTCAAGGATCTGAGTACTTCTTCCAACACAAAGAGGACACACTTGTTGAGTTGGCCTTACATACTGTATGTCTTTACCTCTGTATTGTGTTGTTTGTTATACCCGTTGTTTCTTGAGACAACAAAGACATTGAGTAGTATGTGACTGCACGACTACAGTAGTATCGGGGAAACACATGCGCATACGTTCCCCCTCACTGTGCTCATGTGTTCATCATACATTATAGTATGTTTGCCTCCATATAGATGCATTGCAGTTATGATGTTGGTCATGATGAATTCTGCTTTTTGGCGCTGTTCTCCAAAGTGACTTACAGTGAGTATTTCCAGCAAGGAAAGAAAGTGACTGATGGAGGAAGGAAGCAAATGAAAAACAAGTACAAGAGAAGGCGAGAGTGTGCAGAGTGACACATGGAGTCATAGAATATGGCTCAGTTATTCTCCAGGAGGGAACGATCCCTCTCCTTTATCTGTTTCTTCTTCCTGTGTTTTGTCTGCTTCTCTCTTTTTCATTTCTCTTTATTCCAGTCCTCTTCCCTTTGTCACTTGCTCCTGTTTTATGTATTATTGAATATGGCCCTGCAATGTTTTTAGAACTGTCACTGTGAAAGAAAAAGAACCAAGACTTCAAATCAAGTGTTTTACTCTCTCAGAGGACACCCTTACCATGACATACTGTAGAAGCAACAGGACTCAGGTCGGGGCGTTAGGTGTGTATTGGAAACTATGGTGGCCTTTAGGTGACATCAAACTGTGAAAGGCTCTCTGTAGAGGCAGAGTTTGGTTTGTCTGTTGTGAGTTATAGTAGAAACATGATGACTCTGTTAAGAGGACCTGCTCCATGTTCAAATAAGCTCAGAGAAATGCTTCTTAGATTCAGGTGATTATACAGGAGCACCGATTTTCTCCCTAATAATCCTGCATTATAAGCAACAGAAATGTGTGTTGGAATCAGCAAGTAGCTCAAAATACTTTTTGTCTCGATCTCCACCATGGTCACACCATGGTGATGCAACAATAACACATGAACACATCCAGTGGGGTAAAAGTCTGTCGAACTAAATGATTTGAGTTGTATATTGTTTGTACTTTAGTTAGTGATTTGTATGTGCATGTGACTTATACTTCTGTATTACAGTGCAGTTATGTGTGTATATGGTTTTTACCTTATCCAAGTAGGTGTAGCTCCAAATCTTCCCGTCAGCGAACACTCGGGAAATGATTCGTCCCTGGCTGTCATACTCCCACTTCTCTGTGGTGGGACCCCTCTGGAGGCCAGTCACCTGCCCCGTACTGCACACACACACACACACCACACACACACACACACACACACACACACACACACACACACACACACACACACACACACACACACACACACACACACACACAGGTTAATATCAGAGGCCTGTACTACGAAGCTGGATCAACCTAACCTGGATATGTTTGAGTTAGCCGGTTGGCCTAATCCAAAACAAACGCGCTCTCGCTAAACTGTCCTACGACGCTGGCTATCAACTCGTTAACTCAAGCCAGCCGTGTCCTATCTAGTTAGGTGCGCGTTCACATGAAAGGGGTGGTATCTGGAGCATTCGACCAATCACAAACATGGGTACTGACAGTGCAGCGTCATACTTCCTGAATGAAAAGTGAACTATAATATTAGTCAAATATGAAGAAGTTAAACTTTAAACATCCATGACTTAAACACTTTATCCAGGATCAAAGCCACAGAGCTGCACCTGCAAGGTGAATACAGCTGGTAACAGAACAAGTGTTTGAATGCGTACATTAACAGGTTTATGATATCACTGCCCCGTCTAAGACACCATCTGACTTTAATTACATTTGTCTCGAGTGTTTCGTCAACTTAATGTGTTGCTTAAAATAATACTTCTGCATACAGTATGTGACACTGTGAGTGTTGCACGGCCAGATACGGCTCAGCTGACTCAGATAAGGAGATATGTGATGCATTATGATGTGATATGAAGTGATATGAATGATAATGGGACACATCGAAGTCTGCACTCACAGTGCTGTACATAATGTTACTTTGATCCGGTTACTTATGTTGTGGCAGATATTTAAGTAAGCTTTCTTAATGCTAATGTTATAATAGTCAGATTGCTCTGAAGATGGAGGTGATATTCTATTAATGTTCACGTTCACACAGTCAGTGATTTTTGCCGGCCGTCTTTCCTGCAACGGCAGTTTTTCTGTATTTCCTTTCTCCTGTAATATGACTTGATCGCTTTAAACTCTGCACACTGAGCTCTGATTGGTCAGCAGGCAGTGCTTTCACTGAGTTGAGCTCTCATCCTGGAACCTAACCTGCTCCGTACCAGGCTAGCCATTCAGCATAAGTTACCATGGAGATCTAGCCCGCTAAAAAGAGAACCAGCGTCGTAGGACCGGAAACCCAGAGTTTTCCTTGAAGTTAGCCGGCTAAGCGAAGATCCGGCTACATAGTACGGGCCTCTGGTCCATACAGGATGAGATATATTTAAGCTTTGTATGTAGAACCTTGTCTTGAATGCATCATGATCAGCTGCACAGGGGATTTCAAACCTTTATCCAACGGCTATCGTTTATACAGTATGACCCATGAGCTCTATGTAGCTACATTAAAATGCAGTTCATATTGTGAACATGAGGTGTCGCTATCACATCATTTGCACTGTTTTCCATACATAAGAGCTGGATCATAGTGTTTCTATGTTACTTTGCCTTCTCAGGGTAGACAACATAGAAACCAGTTTCAATATAAGGCATTCCAGTAAATCACCACCATCCAATAGGACCATTCTGAAAGTGTCAACGAAAACTACGTCAGAGCTTTGTGAAAGTAGAAGTTCAGGGCAGATTCCATAAGAAACGCCAGTGTCCAGATTCAGCTGCCATTGAGAAAGACATTAACTAGTTTGTTTGTTTCATATTAACCTACATGCTCCGACATAATCTACTCCATCTAAGAGGATTTTCTTATTTTTCTCTTTTCTTTGAGCAAAAATGTGAAATGTTGTGTGTACAGCAGAAATACTGAGACTATCCCTTTAAACTGAGAAATGGTTGGACTTGCCTTTAGAGCCCAATGCCACTGGCCTACCCTTTCCAATTACAACCCTAACATAACACATACTGGTATATAGAAGCACTCACCTGGAGTATGTGAGGTTGACTGACAGCAGCTTGCTGCTGGGAACCCACAGTGTGGGATGGCCTTGTGTGTCATAGATGATCTTCAGCAGGAACTTCCTGTGGTCATCATATATTTTCTCTGTTCGCAGCGAACGGTCGTAATCCACTGACAGCAGGTTCCTACCATTCACCTGCAGGGGGACACAAACAAACAACCACTGCATAAAGACACTCTCCATACTGTATACATCTATGATGAGTGGAAACATGAATGCTTAGTATCTGTAGCTGATTATACTACATGTGGCGCCAGAGGAAAAGCTCATCATTGATAAAGTTGATCCTTTGGATAGCATGGAAATGCTCGGTTCATGAAAGAATACCCATAAGATTAAAATGTATTTTGTTGAATGTTTTTGTTGAAGACTAAGAACTTCAAACTAAAGGAATGAACCATCAGATGTCACGACCATCTGCACAGAAACACATACATCATTTATATATTGTCCCAAATCTTAATCCGTCTGTTTTTTTAAAATTCTAAGACATAATAAATATAGCATCAATAATAATTTAGGATGAGCCACCTGGCTACTCAAACAGATAAAGAATCAAAAAGCTGTTACATTAGTGTTAATAACAGGCTGTTTGAATCCACATAAGGTGCCTCAGGCAGTGAATTCAAACAAACTTGTGATCCAACACCCATAAAACACTGAGGCAGCCTGCCGCTCTTTATCGCTTTCTAAATGACGTGCTGTTTGTTCAAACTACCATTTACCAAGACAGATAGCTCGGGTCGGAGCTAACAACCTTCTGGATCCTTGAAGCCAGGGAAGTACTTAGAATTAGCCAATCAACAGTTTTACAGACCGGCTTCATTAAGGGGAGAGGCTTGCTGGAAAACGCTCAAGACTCATTTTCTCTTTTTTTATATAGCCACGCATTCGTTTGTAAATTAGGAGCAGTTGAATGCAGCAGGTGAGTAAAGGGGAGAGAAGAGGGTATTTGGACGGTGGCTAGTAGCCAGCTGGATGGGAGACCAGAGAGGAGAGCCACATCATATCAAGAGGAATACATCATTTTGCAGATTGGCATGGCCTGTCATGTTCATAATAATTGGAGGCAAACTGAGGCTTTTACTGCAATGCCAAACAGGAATCTCTAATGGCTGTCATCCTTTGTGCAGAATAACCCAAACTGAATGGGATTTAATAACTAAAGTACTTGTGTGGGGGGTTTGGGATAGCTGACAGACCCTGAGCATTAGTACAGTTCTTTAGTGTGTTGATAAACCTAGGAAAACATGCAATACAGATACAAAACATCCTATTACCAAGTGACCTACATACATTCAGGTCATCTCACAGACATGGTGCTGTGTCTGACAGACACTAGGTGTTTTCATTATTTCCTCTACCGAGATGCTAAAACATTCAGTTTTCCATTCACTCACATCTTGTGTTCAATGCACATTCCTTACTGGGATTAGCACACAAAGCAGCATGATAGCATTTAGCAGAAAGGCTGGAATGAAGTTCACTGCTGCACTGAAAAAACTGAAACGTTGACTTTAATTAAAATATTATGTCAGCAAATTTCACATAGGTTAGTTGAAAGCAATAATGTTGTGTTTAAATAAAAAATATTAGGTTCAACTTAGAGTTATTGCTTTCAACTAACCCAAAACAGTTGACATTTGTTGACATAATTCATTTAATTAAAGTCAACGTTTCAGTGTGTTCATCCAGCCTCACAGCCCCCCCACCGTCATTAACGCCTCACTCTGGCATCATGGTGCTGCAGCAGGACAGCTCCACTGTCACTTTAACACAGATCTTCACTGTCACAAGTGTCTAGCTGAATTATACTGTGTACATACTGCACACCCATTTACAAAAACACATCTACCTGCAAGTCCTTATTGCTAGCTTAACAATGACCGCCCCATTACCATCAGGGCAGCACACATGCTGTCATACATGAATGGCTCCACTGTGTAGATCAAACTCTGAAGCGGTAATATTCAACACTGCAGGCACATCACTGTCCCTGCCTTCTCCTAACAGCTCATAACAACAACATATATAGCATTTTTTTAAGAGTGAATGTGTGTCAATATGTGCTGATCATATATTTATTGTAAATATATATGATTAAATTAAACTAGTCCCTATCCGTTGGACCACATGAATTGAGTCGAATACTATTGATGAATTGAACAACATGCAGTCTAACCCTACTCTCAGTAAAGACATGTACTGTAGCAGCCATATAGGCGTATTATTATTTATGGTAAATGTTTATGTTGGCAAGAAAGTTGTACATTCTTTGAATTACATTTTTTTTTAAATACTGTTTTTGTATAGTTGTTAGTGCTGTAGCGACGCGTCGACGCGTCGACTTCGAAATATCGTCAACGACATATTTCCGCGTCGACGCGTCGCTACACACACGTGGGTCACCCAAAGCAACAAGCAGTTCGCAATCGCACTTCAAACACAATGGAGACTGAAAACGGCTACCACCTCCTCCTCACAGGATTGCGCACGAAGCCCCCAAATGAAAACATCTCGCCCTAGGTCTTCAAAAGCATGGGAATATTTTAAAGTTAGTCCAAAACGCAAAGATATTATATATTTATATCTCACTGAGACTGCTGCATAGCCTAGCAGAAGCAGCAGCTAGCTGTGGTGACTACCATTAGCAGCTAGCATTTGCTCTCCGATTTTTACATAAAACGGAATTATGGATTATAAATTCAATCATTTTTTTATACATAGACGTTAAAAACCTATGGATTAACCGATTCAGCCGCGTTTTTTCTCATTTTAATGCCATTGAACACGTCTTTTGATCAGATTGACAGCTACGGTGGTGAGACGATCTCCCTAGAAGCTCTGTGAAGGTACGTGTTGTGATGACTGTATTTGCTTCCCCTGTCGCGAGTCCGGATCACTCAGTGATGATACTATATACCTACATAATCTGTGGAGTCTCAGCTTTAATCGGATATATTGTATGTGCAGCTACGATAAGTAATAAGGGTACTTTTATCTTGAGTTCTGTGCCAATGTCCGTTAGCATTTTTCGCTCAGGGGTCATTTAGATGCTTCTTATGAGACTTGTGTTTTGTTTTGGTAAAAATGGTTTGTATCGTCAGTTAGCTGAGATTATTTCCGTTAATCTGGTATAACACATTAATAGGTTCTTAAATATTAAGATCCCCTGAGACACAGTATCGTGAAAACGTTTTTTTTTACATTACGTTTTTTTTACATTACGTTTTTTATGAATTGAACAACAGAAAAATAATCGTTAGATTAGTCGACTAATCGATCAAATAATCGCCCGATTAATCGTTTTCAAAATAATCGTTTCCCCCCAGCACTAATAGTTGTATATGTTTCTGGAATGCGTAAGGTTTATGTTGATTATTGTATACGACCTGGTTTCATGCCGTAAAGCAGTGCACAGGTCCACAAATAAAAAATGGTGCTAAGCCAATCATACATAGGGAATTCTACAAGGCACGTCTAATAGTAACACTACTTGTGATTGGTAATGAAAATGGGCCACTAGAGATGACGGCAGAGTTTGACATGAGTTGTTCTGTTCTTCTGTTTCTGGAGAGCACTCACCCTGAGCTTCCTCCCGAACACGATGACTTTCCCCCGGGTCTGCTCCTTCCTGAACCTCCACTCCACCAGGTTCTGGCCGTTCTCTCCTGGCAGCGTCATGTTGCGTCGGGCTACAGTTGGGTTAGCAGCACCTTCAAATGGATATGAGAAAGACATAAATACCATCAATATCTTAAGATGAAAAGTAAAAATATGCAAAGCAAGAAAAAAGCAGTGCATCAATATGTCCATGAGAGCTGTGTGTATGTTTGGGAATGGCCTGGGGAATTATTATTATTGACAAGTTGATAGTTTTAACAAATGAAACTGTTGATTTTTCACTTGATTGCAATGTCCTGGTCACCTTGTGCCATTCTTGTGGTTCTGCAGAGATCATCTTAATCCTAGTGGTACAGTTATAATACTGAGCTCCTTTTTTTATCAACACACACACATTTATACAAATGTTGACTGCATAGGCTTGGAATCGACCGCTCTTCCATGAGTAACACAAATCACATATGGTATTAATCCATTTTAATTGCTACTGACTATGTTCCAAAGCATGCTGTAATGCTTTAGCTGTAGAACATGATGTAAAACATCAGCCTGCAGAGACATGACACTTGAACTGGTCATTATCACTGCAGCAGAGCTGGAAGAATAAAAGTAGCAATACTACAGTGTAAAAATACTCATTTAAAATGGTACTTAAAGAGCAACTTGCAGGTTAGAGACCCAAGTGAATAAATATGCAGGACAATTATGTATAGGCTACACTAGATATATATATATATATATATATATAATATACACTACAGTGACATCTGGCGTCGTTTTTGTAAGACATTTTTACTTCTGCATAAAAAAAGACCACCCGCGTGTGACGTCACATCAGGGAGAGCAGCCGGTCTAACCGGTATGAATAAACATGGATCACAATGCTAGTTTTCACACAGAAGAGGTTGAACATGAATATTCGAATGCATATGACGGACCACAACCTTATAATTATGAGCCTGCTAGGCGTCCAAGAGACCAGGAGCAGCCAAGGATTAGAAGAAATAACGGCCATCGGAGAGAAATGGAGCTGTGGTGTGAGGAGAACCAGTGGAGAACAGGGCAGCTGTCTTGGTGAGTGACCGGCGTTAGCTACAGTTAATGTTAGCTAACGTCAGTCACATCACAACATTGTAAAGTTAGCTATCATATATCAGGCTATAACTAAAGTAGTATTGATAATATAGTAACGTTACTGACAGGACTGTTGATACTGATCCATAACAGAAACTAATGCGCAAGTATCAGCCGTATCTCTCGTTACCTAATGCAACTCCACACTACGTCTGACGGTGCTGTGTACCGGAGGGGAGAGAGAGAGAGCAGGGGGGGAGAGAGAGAGGAACAAAGGGGGGAGAGAGAGAGAGCAGCGAAGAGAGGGAGAGAGATGTAATACGGTTTCCTGATAAACGTTTTGTTTGATAGGTGCTTGTGTGGGAAATGCCAGCCCATGGCCTCTGAGAGAGTATGTGCTGCAGGGAGGTGGATGCACCTCGCAACAACGCACCCAGGAACGAAAGCTAGTTCCGGTCCTTTTCCTGTTAGGGAAACTGTGGACTCGATGTCCTGACAGGCTGGAGTTTGTGCAACCTGCACAAACTCCAGCTCACCATGATTACAGATGGTGAAATGCAATGTAGAATTACCGAAAAAATACCAGCTCACTAAATCACAACCGCTCAAACCAACTACAAACTACTACCGCGGATTGGGCAGAGAAGGAGTCCGAGAAAGTTGCTCCCCCATGTGACGTAATATGACGCGTTTGACGTATGACGTTAAAAAAAATCTGTTTTTAGTAGCAGAGCTCAAAACGGCTCCTTCCCCTCTGAATTCCTGCCCTTATGTCTTGTAAAACATATCAAATCCAGCATTAACTTTTTTTAATTGTAATTTTCAGGCAAGGTTAAGCATAAATGTAGTAAAAAAAAAACCTGCAAGTTGCTCTTTAAGTAAAAGTAAAAAAGTCTGAGCATTACAATATAATTGAAGTACCAAAAGTAAAATGACTCGTTATGCAGAATGGCCCTTTTAGGCACCTTATGTTTTAGATTATTGTATTATAAATATTGATGCATTAACGTGTTCATCACTTCAATGTTGCTCTTGGTAAAAGTGGAGTTTATTTGAATGACTTTATATACTACTGGGTAGCTTAATCTATAATTATAGATGATAATATATTAGTTGATTTAGATTTTGTATTTATAATCAAAATCTGCAAAGTAAATAGTGACTATATCTGTAAAACAATGTAGTGGATTAAAAAGTAAAACATTGGTCTACAAAATGTAGGGGAGTAAAAGTATAAATACTATTATGAGAAAATACTCAAGTAAAGTACCTCAATGTTTTACTCAAGTACAGTACGTGATTAAATGTGCTCAATTACATTCCACCACTGAGTATTGGTCAGCTGTTAATGGAAATGTCTGCACAATAGCATTGTGTTGTTTATCTGATGTGTTCTGATATTTGCAGTGAAAACAAATCCTAAAGAGTCAAACTGTGACCTATGAGTGTGGGAGTGGAAGAAATGAAACATGGTTCTGATGCCCTGCCTGGTTCACATGTTCATCTCTGCATGTCTGTTTGTCTTGTGATTGTAGTAATAATGTCTGTGGTTGAATTGTGACTTGATTTGGTTTTGTCATAAAAAAGACTGTTTTGCTGATTGTACTGTATGTTAGGACCCCCATCTCAAGGGGTTTGCCCTATATAAATACATTTCAGTTGATTATGTTTTAGTCTACAGTACACATTGAGGGTTTTGTGCTGAAGCTGCATACCTGCCAGTATGTGGGGCTCTGTCTGGTAGTGTGTGTCCATCCCATTGGCATAGATCACCCTCAGTGAGTGGTCGCTCCCCACATGGTAGCTGTTACGAAGCTGGTCTAAAAGACAAGAAGAGAAGAGAGAGCATGAAGAAGATCCATAACACTATAGAGAGGCGAAGTCCCTCCCCTTCCGGGGGACCTCCATGGGACCTTATTTCGGAAAAATCATGTATTGAAGTCAATGGAGAGAGAAAGATTATCTTTTGATCCCGTTTGAATTGTGCCACAAATTACACATATGATGTTTGTCAATTTAAAAGATAATTTTGCAAGTCAAAAAAATAAAAATGTGTCGTAAAACTGTGAAGTAACACATTTGTTTGTGTGAAGCGCTCAATGAACTACAACTCTGGTCTTGCATACGTCACCAAGACCAAGATGGCCGTCACGTTAGCACATTTCACCTCTTTCTTTCAGAATGAAGCGAAAAGTATTAAAAGAGAAAATCACTACAAGTCTGGGCATGTTGAGAACTGTACATACACACAAGGGGAGTTAGTCGGTTCCGTAAGAGCCAGCATGCGGGACCGGCTATACAAGGTTTCAGTGAGTAACACAAGTGTAATGTGTAACGTTAATGTACGCGACTCTGGGATTTGTAGTCTTTCTAGCTGCGTATTTTCCATAGTCTTATATTTCAACAGTTTTAAAACAAACTGTGACTTTTTTGACATGGAAATGATTTTTTAAGATTGACAAACATCATATGTGTAATTCATGGCACAATTCAAACGGGATCGAAAGATACGTTTTCTCTCTCCATTGACTTCAATACATAATTTTTCAGAAATAAGGTCCCATGGGACGGAAGTAGATGGGCGTGACTTCGCCTCTCTATTCCACATTGGATCCATGCCTGGGGTTGTTTTCAAGGCATGGATTCAAAACACTGTATCAATGCTGAGCTGAAGTTAGCGAGGGGGACAGGGGATGCAGATAGACATACAATTATTTTTCTGAGGGCGATGTTTGAATGACAAACATATTTAAAATGTTCAACTAAAATGTGGTTCCTGCTAACAGCGGCCGCTGTGTTATTTTTTTGATGGTGATTGTTTGTTGTGGTTCAATATTATGGAGTGGATGTGATGTGTCACTTGTACAGACTTTGTACAGTGTGTCATGCATGTGGAAAGACAGCACACCGCTCATTACTGCCAGCTATCACATTCATCACCATGTAGAGCATCTGTCAGGCCCTGTGTGACGGAGCGGATCGCCGACTCACCGACCACTCCACTGACAGCGTATGCACACACACACACACACACACACACACACACACACACACACACACACACACACACACACACACACACACACACACACACACACACACACACACACACACACACACACACACACACACACACACACACACACACACACACACACACACACCACTTCAGGGGACATTACATTGATGCATGTCCTGGAGACTTAACTTATCCTAACCTTAACCATAACCAACACATGCCTAACCCTTACGCACACTCTTTGGTCCTACATTTATTTAAACATACATTCAATTTGCTATGTCGTGCTTACGTGTCTGGCGGTGAGCGGCAGTATCGCCCCGGCGAAGCGCATTGTCACGTTACATGTAAGTTTCGGTTTTGCTGTTATAGTACCTCCTAGAGGCAATTGGCTTGATTGCAGCATATTCATGCTATTTTTTTCTGTTTGTGTTTTCATTGGCCAGTAGAGGTCACATTACATAAGGCGCGTTCACACCGGAGTACTTTTCCCGTACTTCTCCCGTTTAGTTCCGTTAGTGCCTGGAATTTTGCGTTCACACCAAAAAGAGTACTTAGATCCGAGAACTTTTACCCACATTTTTTGTGCCTGCTAGAGAGGTGGTACTATGCTGGGGAGAAAAAAGTACCAATTTCTGATTGGCTGGGCAAATTGCAAACCACGGCCCGTAAAAAGTTTTGTGAAGCCGTCATTGTATTTGCTGGCATTAGCATTATTAGCATTAGCATTAGCCCCGCGCACCAACGGAGATAGACTAACTTATGGCAACACAAAAAAAAACATGGGAGCGGTGGAGATGAGGAGGTGTCGGTGTTCTGGCGATTTAGTAGGAAGGCTTCAGTAGAAGCTGCTGGGAGTCCCAGCCCTTCTACTGAAGCCTTCCCCAACTCCGGGGAGTTCCGGCCGGGGCCTTTGAGCGGCAGTATACGCCGTGAAGTGGTTTGCGGCCTGCCAGTAAACCCAAAGCAGAAGAAGTGACGTCAGCGGCTCCATTTGCGTAATCTTCCCTCAGGGAACTTATTCCGGTGTGAACGCGATCTGTACTTAGTGCCATGGGGGAACTTAGTGCTGGTGTAGGTACCATATCTGCACGGCCTACCAGATTAGCATGGGGTCCGTTACGCTTACTAATGACATCACGCATTGGCTGTACGCAAATTCCGCAAAGAATATTAAAAAATAACAATCGACAGTGAATGTATGTTAGTGGAACTGTGTCAGGAAAGTGAAGTGTTAATTAATGTTATTGAAGAACTGAAATGCATAAAATTGAAAGTTAATATGTAGCATATCCCTCCGAAATATGGTCGTAGACTTTACTGATGATTTAGAATTGATTGAAACTCCAGACTCAACGTAAGAGCTTGTGCGTCTTCGGGGGGTGCTAACATTTAAACATAAACTTTATTCTTTACTTTATCCGTCTTTATGATATCAGATACCGTCATGTTGTTTCCATAGCAACAACAACTTCCTGTCAACAGCTCCTGTTTCACCTGCTTAATACAGTTATCATCAGTGCTACTGTGGTCACATCGGGGACCCGTAGCGTTTACAATGGTTGAGATGTGAAGGGGGTTATGTTTTTGTCTGTGTTCTGGGTTCCTGCAGTTTTTTGAACAGACAGTACACACGTTCAGAGGATGAACGTGTGTACTGTCTGTGGGAGTTTACGCTGTTGACAGGAAGTTGTTGTTGCTATGGAAACACCAGATACCATTTCGGAGGGATATGCTACATATTAACTTTCAATGTTATGCATTTCAGTTCTTCAATAACATTACTTAATTAACACTTCACTTTCCTGACACAGTTCCACTAACATACATTCACTGTCGATTGTTATTTTTTAATATTCTTTGCGGAATTTGGCCGTGTAAAAGGTCCTCTTGGGTTGCCGTACAGCCAATGCGTGATGTCATTAGTAAGCGTAACGGACCGCGTGCTAATCTGGTAGGCCGTGAAGATATGGTACCTACACCAGCACTAAGTGCTGGGCACTAAGTACGGTAAAGTACTTGGTGTGAAAGTGGCTATAGTCACATGACTGAGTTGAAAGGTCAGCAGCCATGTTTTTCTGACAGACAAGCTAGAGAGCCACATGTTGTTCCTCCTCTTACATCCGGCTCCATCTGCTCATGTAGACCTTGGAGAGGCATTGTTTGTAAGTTTAATGATTTATCTATGTTTATAGATTTCATTTATGTTTATATTTTGTAACATGTCATTGTATTGATTGCAATGCTTTGTACTTTCAGTTTCACAAGATTACTACAATAAAATGTTGAACTATCTGGCGATGTGTACATCATTGCTACGTGCCCAGGGGCCAGAATACGCAGTTTTCCTTGATTGAAATGGGCTTCACTGATGCAGTCTCTAGGTCACGTGAGAGCATATTTATTATGTGTTCTGTTTATTATTATAGATGATGATGAAGTTTGATGATGAATAACCTGTTTATTCATTAAATTGTTTATCAAATAGTGTATATATTTTGAAGAAGGTTAAGAAGCAGAACATGCTAATATAATGATAAGCCTTCTGGGAGGGGCTCTGTGTATTTAAGGGACTGTTTTGGCACCATACTGCCAGTCTTGATGCAGAGCAGGCAACAGTCGTGGTATTTCTATGCTAATATTTTTGTTGGACCAAAGGAAAACCTAATTTGAGTAATTGGAGCACTCATCTTTTATTTATTTAATTCATTATTTTTCAATAGGAACATATTTTTAATTCTGCATTTTTTAGTAAATAAATAATTTGAGCACAATTTTTATGACTTCGCCTATGTTTGAGGACGGATACAATAGAACCTCTGCATTACCAACATGTTCCCCTGCTTTCACACAGCAGTGAGCAGCCTCCAGCTGACCAGACAGCAGCTTGTTTTCTCTTCCTGTGCTGCACCTCACCACCTGTGATCCACATCACCTGGAGCACCGGCTCACTGTGCGGCAGAGATGATAGCGGGGAGGCCAGATCATGAATAATGTACACGTATTGATGGAGAGGAATGCTACACTTGTCGATGGCTTTGAATAACTCATTACATTCTGATCAATACTGCTGTGAGGGGAGCGTCTGTTTCCCTCACCCTCAGGACACTTGTTTCGCTCTGGAACAAATCGCTGCCGGCCACTTCAACTGGCTCATTAGTTCAGATTTAACAAGGGCATCAGTGCTAAATTATTGTTTCCCCCTGCCGTTTAGCCTGACTGTCTGATATGAAGGATGATGACGATGGTGGAGCTAACTTTATTTTTCCTCTGGCAGTTCCACTCAAATCTAGAATTCTCACTGGGGAGGCATTGTGCTGTACCTCACTTCCTCACTCAGGTGTATTCTTCAAAGGTTTACATCGAGATGTATAATGTTTCATGTTCTTAACAGTGTTTCATCATCTGAAATCTAAGGTACTGCTGTGATGGACAAATGTCAAGAAAACATTACACATTTTAAAAAGATAGTTTGGTTGATGATCGATCAGTACATTTAAAACAACTGAGTTTATGATTATGGATTATAAAAAAAGATAATGTTGTGGATATAAATCACTTAGACCCTAACCAAGTGTCTTTATAGACTGTATATATATTTGTGTTGGGTAAGTTAACACGTTCTTATCGCAATTACAAATTGTAATTGCACTCATATGTGGAAAGCAATCTGAATAACACATTTCATGATTTGTCGGAGAAATATAGATTTAATAGTTTGAGGTGTTTGCCTCAGGTTAGTGCCAGGAAGGTGGTGGTGGCTGGAGATCATAATAAAGCTAAGGTGGAGCTATATTTATGACGGTGTAGAGGGAAGACCCCGGAGGGCTTTCTTTAACAGATTGGCCACCACCGCCTAACCCTTGATACACACACACACCCACACACACACACACCCACACCCACACCCAAACACACACACACACACACACACACACACACACACACACACACACACACACACACACACACACACACACACACACACACACACACACACACACACACAGTAGCTTACCCTGCACCAGAGTGTAGAAGGAGTCTATTGACGACAGATTGGTTGTGATGGAAACGTCCTCATCCCTCCCTGACGTCTCAATGTCCACAGCAACAGCCCCCGACGACATGTCGCCGTGGAGATTGGTCACAACGCCGGTGGGGAATGTCACATTAGTCAGACGGCCCTCGCTGTCATAGCTACAAGGACGGTGAGGAGGGGGGGGGGGATACAGGGATTAGTTGCCATTACTGTAATGTGCTTTACGGAACCTTGTGAATGGACATTAAAAAAACACACAAACCTGCACTCGGGCACACACACACAGCCTTTGCCAGTTTCTTACAGCCATTTTATACATTTATTTTGTTATTTCTACTCAGCGGAAGGTAGATAAATAATATACTTTTAGGAGTTGGATATTATATTCAGTGAGTTTCTACCCATTAAATAGGTTTTCTGTTATTTTATTTCCAACACAGAATTATGTCCAGACATTAACTTGTAGGCAAATTAAGGACTGGATGTTACAAATCTGTGATCCTGACAAATATAAACCACTTTGAGCTAGTTTGAGCAGGTGTAGATCACATAATGGAATGCTAATCTGTCAGAAGAGTTTTTCTCTATAAAACCCTCAAAGGCTTCTCTCCTTCTCAGTTGGTTTTTAAACTTTTGAAATGTGAAGATCCAACTATCCATACACCCCTCAGCGGTGCAAACATGTCCCCCATTACAAAGACAGTGGAGCTCTCACTCATAGAAGGTGGTCCAGCCTATCTGGATGCTCTTGGTAGCCAGCAAGCCGCTGTTTCCATGGTAACTAAACAACACCAGCTCCTGACCCTGAGCCGTGAGAGTCTTCAGACCCCCGTTAGTCCCGATGGTCAGCCAGATGACCTGCAAACACACACACACACACACACACACACACACACACACACACACACACACACACACACACACACACACACACACACACACACACACACACACACACACACACACACACACACACACACACACACACACACACACAGATTAGGCCTGTTGCAGCAGTCAGTAAACGCCACGATGAGTTTTCTTTACTGTGATAAATATTTTGTTGTTATCAAAACTGATTTTTAAGCTCTTTCATGAAACTGCAGGGAATCTTCTTGAATTATGTTTTTTGGTAATATATATTTTGATAAGAAAAGTAAAAGTTGTGCACAATCGTTAAACGTCGGTTAATCTCACCTGGTTGTCAGGGGAGACCACGCGTACAGGCAGCCGGTTGGTGTCTCTGCGGATACGCAGGGTGTTCCCACTGCTGTCCGTCACTGCCGTCACATCCTCCTCATTGCTGACAGGGTACACATTTTTTTAAATAAAAGTAAGAAAATTACACATTTATGTATTTGTTTTTGAGATTCCCTTTTTTGGCAGTGTAGAAATGCAATCAGAGAGAAGTTATGACATACAACAGGACCAAAAGATGGAATCAAACCTGTTACGTCGTGGTTATATGGCATGTGCCGTATCCACTCCGTAAACAAAACTCTCTATGAATGTTTTACAAGTTTACAAGTTAATGTCCACACAAACCAACCTGTAGCTGAAGTTGTATTTATAGTCTCCAGTGACCAGAGACATGGTGAACTGGTGAGTCCCGTTCCCATCAAACACGTAGAGCTCCTGGGAGGCGGGGGAGGCCACTTCATAGGAGCTGGGTCCTGAAGCCAGGGAGCCTGCACACACAACCGCTTTATACATTTCATATTATCACTTTCATGTCTTTAATACACTCGTACAAGATCTTCCCACCGATTAGCAACAATGCCATAGAGCAAGGGTGGGGAACCTCAGGCCTCCGGGCCGTATACGGTCCACGAGATCATTTGATAAGGCCCTCGAGGTAATTTATAAACACACGAGAAAAATGAATCTAGACCGCAATAGAATTAAACGAGCGACTGCCTGTTTTTCCTGGGCAAGGAAAAATGTGTGTTCCTTGAACACAACACGAGCGTAACGTGTGATCACATGGTGTAGTGCTGCCAGGCCCGGAACGCCGCTCCGGCACTGCAGTACCCATAAGGAGCTGTACACATGCAGCAGTTTTTGCGTGTCTTTACTCTTTAGTTGAAAGCCCAGTGGCGATCTGTTCATCTGACACACTGATCATACAGTCAATAACTCCATCGAAAATAATATGCTACATTACAGTACAACTACTTCTGGGTCTTTGTGTGTCACTCAAGCTCGGCTCTGTGTGTGTGGCAAGAGCGCATTTTGTGTGAGCGAGCGAGAGACAGCGGTACTGGAGATTGTTGTTATTAGCATCTGGTTAGCTAGCTATGCTAACGGTGGAAGAGAGCTCTCCTTTCAGACTGAGAGGCTGATAACCTTAGCTCACTGAGGTAAAGGCACACCTTTATATGATCATTATAGTTGTAAAAAAACAAGAGAATAAATGAAAAACAGGTATAAAATACTATATGACAGTAAAACAAAGTTGTTATTAATAAACACAAATACAGTTTAAAGGGGGAGTGATTTGTAAAATATCCATAAAGAAAAAGCCTCTTAATATTGCTCTCAAAGTGCACCAGATTGATGCTTTTAACTTCAATATTAAAAAATATTTCTTCCCAGGGGAGCATGCCCCCGCACCCCCCTAGAGCAGTGGTTCCCAACCTTTTTTCCCAAGAGCCCCTCCAAATGAGTCCTGTTGGAAGTTGAGCCCCCCCCCACACCGTGTGTGTGTGTGTGTGTGGGTACACAACAACAACAGCGGTAATTAAAGTTTAAAAGTCTCAAAAATGCTACAACTACTGTCACTAGGGTTAGGGTTAGACTGTTTAAAACACATATGCTCAAAGTAAGCCGGATTTTGCCGATGTGTTTATGTGGATTCAAAATTCGTAAATAATCTACAAAATGGAGACCGATCTGATCGGAGCAACTGTGACAAATAATCCAACTGAAACCGGCATGGACAATGACTATGTTTTAAAAATACGCTTATCCAGAAAAGCCTGGTTTGGACACTTTACGGGCAGAAGAAACATTTCTATAGAAAGAATTATACATTTCTGTCTTTTTATGCCTTTAATACTAACTTGAATTGTTATTCAAATTAATTAATCAATTATTGTGTATATGTTATTGTAATGTAGAGACAAAGCTTTTAGTGACAATCATGTATTGCCTTACAATTATATGTAAAAAAAAAAATGTAAAAAAAAAATGTAAAGTCTAAAGATGATATTTGGCCTCAAATCATCTGAGGCCTGGCGCCGCCCCTGCGATCTTTGGCGCCCCCCCTAGGGGGGCGTGCCCCCCAGGTTGGGAACCACTGCCCTAGAGGATGTTAGGTCTACCCCCCCACTTAAATCATGTTCACATGGATAGGATACTAAATACATTTGCACACATATTGTGCATGCATACACACTCTCTCCAAAGCATAACATAAAAACATTGAAAATAAAATATCTGGATTAAGAAGTTGCTGTGATATTTTTATTTTTTTTAGCAGAGGTTGAGTTCAGTAATTTGTATACAGCCCTCGGAGGATGTTGTACAAATTGAAATGGCCCTGGCCTTGATAGAAAAAAGGTTCCCCACCCCTGCGATAGAGGAAAGTTTATACAGAACAATTCTATTCAGGATTTAGTTTGATCACATGACTCCCTCACTGTGAATGAGACCCAGCTACCACTAAACAGAAACACGCCTGTTTGCTGTCCTGGCTCCACAATGTCTACATGTCTGCCGTCACAGACTGAAAACACTCTTACTTCTGCTAGACTTAGGCAATATATATATATATATATATAAATACATCTCACCTCTGTATGTCACATTAACAAGAGTTTCACTTATAGCTAGCTAATGTCCCTAAGGGATTCTTACTGTCCTGAGTTTGTATCCTCATGGTTGATTGCACTTTAAAATGTATTGTAAATTGCTTTGGATAAAAGCTTCAGCTAAATTAAATGTAATGTTATAATCACTGTCTATGGGTAAGGGGAATGTGTTGGACAGTTGTGCTGACCAGCCATCAGAGTCTAAAGCATGTTGTTGTACACCGTGTGGTTTAGCCTGTGACGGAGCACACTGCTGAAGCTGCTGATCTCTTCAAAGCTCAGACTCTTCATGAGTCCACCATGCCAGGCCTGCAGAGCCACTGTTCAAACCCACATCACACTGTAGCTAAGGCCCAGCATTAGTGGGTGGTGTGCAGTCCCTTCTGAAGACATGTGTCCACGTGTTCCACATGCATGTAACCATTTGAATCCATCATGGCCAATGTTTGTGAGACAGAAGCTGGGAAAGTGGTCTTGACTTGATATATATAAAAACAATTATTTTCAAAAGTGAGGCCCTTCTTTCCACACATACAGATATGTAGCAACAGCAGTATGTCCACTGTGCGTGTGTGTGCTATATACACACCAGTGGGGGGTTGGTTGCAGCGTATGGCTCGAATCCGGATGTTTCCCAGATCAGCCACATACAGCGTCCCATCCGGAGACACCACTAAAGACGCAGGACAGTTCAGCCTCGCGTCTTTAGCGTAGCCGTCTCCTGTTTGATAGCAGTCACAGTTGGCATCGTTCTGCAGGATGAAGAGGGAGGGGGGGGGGGAGGCAGGGAGGGAGGGAGGGAGGAAATCAGCTCTTCTATAATAAACAGGTTAACAATAGGATATCAAAAAGAAGACAATGGAGGGCTGTCGTAAATGAGGTTGCTGTTGTACAGTACCTTGCAGTCACAGTCAGAAGGCTCTCCAGCTAGCTGGGTTATTTCCCCATCAGTCGACACCTAGCAGGGGAAAGACAGAATGATACATTCAGGAGCCACTGAGAGCATCCAGCTAATCTTCCTCATCTTCATCTGACACGTGCGGCTCATCCTGAGATCTCTGTTAACTTACAATGACATTTAAAGTGAACACAATTGTTACTCTGACTTCAGGAGTACATGTCGTCAAGGTTACCTGTCTGATGCGGTGGATTTTCTTCTCGTCCGTCTCTGCGATGTAGAGGACCCCGCTGTAGGACAGGGCGACGGCTGTGGCCCCCTCCAGCATGGTCTGCACTGCCCTCTTCCCCATGGTGTATTCTATCCCAGGGACCTGGCAGTGCATGGGACGCCCCGCCACTATACGAACCTGTACACACACATCCACTCGTTAGCCTTTTCCTATTGGGCAGCACATACCCAGAACACTGGACCCACACAACTAAGGACCAAACCTTTTTATCTGTAAACCAGCGGTTACTGGACAATCAAACGTACTGCCTGTGCTTTTAAGCCTTTATCCTTGCTTATGTATGTGCTTTTTTGTCAGTTGTGTGTTCATGTTTTTTTTTATTAGGGTGTTCAAATGTTGCTGTAACAAAAACATTTCCAGAATCAAATAAGTAGACCTAATTGTATCTTATGCTTTTATTGCAGCAATCTTGAGTATTGTCCTTATGTGTTCAATTGTGCTCAGGTGCTTCAGCCTGTGCGTATGTGCTGCATTGTGCTCATGTGCTCTCGTATGTTTCCTTTCAACCTGCAGATCAAAATAAGCCTCTATGACTAAATCTGGCACGTTCACATGGTGGACTCAAGTGCTCATGTTGTCCCTTCTTTAATCATTACAAACAAATATAAAATACAAATATATGGATGCTGGTTTTATTGGCATGATTGCATGAGGGTATTTCATATATATAGATACAGTTTTCTTATGTTACTCTATCAACTTCATTTATTGAACTAACATTTTAAGATGTATTGCGTATACTTCATGCAGTGCGTACGGACATTACCTGTCTGTTTTCAGTGATCTGCAGCACAACGTTGTTGTCCAGGACGTAGATGGAGTTATCCATTGGATTGATGGCTAGATCTGTGGGCCATTCCAAACGAACCTGGATACAAAGAAGAGAGAGACGTTCACTTCACATGCTACTCTTTAATTATACATTGACTTGCCATCTGGTACTACTGATGATATACAGGGTGTTTCCTGGTGGAATTCTGCCAGTTTATCTGAGTTAAATGAATCACAACACATGGCCTTATGGTACTGCTTGAGAATGACAGATGGATTACAAATGATATATAAAAACAGATTACTGCTGCTTCAGAAAGAGAGAGAACAGGTTCTTAAGGCCAGATCTTCTTGACTGAAAATAAAGAGGACTGAGGGGCATATGTCATGCAGTTTTTACTAAATCTCCACACATATGCATTTATACACCTACCTACAGACTTAAATTGGCAAACATGAATCTGCAGTCAGAGCTGAAAACCTAAAAAGTGTGTGGGCCGCCGTTTATTTGTTGACTAAGTGAACTCAGGAGGTCAACCAGACAACAGCAAGTCAAACTGAGCTAAGCTCTGAGGAGGACACAATCACAGTTCACACAACTCTGCAAGAAATGCTCAAACAGACCCCACAGAGTGTCAACGATTAGATGAAACAAGACCCAACAACAATGAGTGTGTGTGTGTGTTTGTGCACGTGTGTAGGTGGTGTCCATCCTGAAGTCCATCTTGTGTCTGTAAGATTATACATTCTCTCTCTGAAACAAATCTAAAGTACCCTGCATTCCTCCATTTGACTCCCTCTCAGTTTCTCCTCTGTCTGACGTTTATTTTATATACATTTAGAAAAAGTCTGTAAAGGTCACCAAATCCAATCGTTAAGATTTAAAAACAAAAATGTTCTGAGGGCACATCAGAGCCACATACTGTATGAACTGGGTTGAATCACAACCTCCTTTAAACTAGCCTTCTATTTTACAAACCCTGTCTCCCATTAATCACATACAAATGCAACTTATTTGCAGAGCAGTTTACATCATGGAAACAAGTTGTTCCAATGCAAATGTGACATTGTTAATCTAAAGTGGAGTAGTGACAGGAAAGCAGTCAGTGTGCATGAAGTATAATTAGGTAGACTGTTAGACTATTACCTGTCTTATGTGCATGCTGGTGTCGCAGGTCAGGGGTCGTGCAGAGGTCAGGTCGTTGCTGCCCAGCATCGTGGAAATGATTCCATTACGATCAACTTTCCTGATCATAGTCCCGTCCACAAAGTAGATCAATCCGTTCCTGTCTACTGCAATCCCTGGGGAACAGAAACAAGGAACACACACAACTCAACGCATGGCTGTCCAGGTGATTATCAATACATCAGCTCCAGGATCCAAAGGAGGAAAGGAAGGTGAGGTATTCTCCTGTGGGGAGGCAGGATGCAGCTGCAGCATAATGCAGATAATATAAAGAGAGTGTATTCAAGCAAAGCCAGCCAAGATGAAAACTGTCAGCAGTGATAAAAGATATCTATACAGTAGATGAGCAAAACAGAATATAGTATAAAGAAATAACAAAAACAAATCTGTAAATGTTTAAATATACTATATACAATTGATACGTTGGCCATCAAATGTTTTCAGTGTCCACCATACGCTGTTCCTGTTGGTTCAAAGATCACCTCAAACACATTCATCATTCTAATGTAAGGACACATGTGGCTGCAGAAGTCTGTCCTCCCTGTTACCTTCAGAGGACAGCAGCCATCCCACAGGGACTCCCGAGGTTATTTTATTCAGGATGCTATGTTGCTATATTCTGGTATACGGAGGTTCCGCACCCCGTGCACATGTTGTGTTGCATGTTATAGGGAACAGTTGTTCTGAATGGCGACGACAGGGCAGACGTTTTGCATGCACCTGAAGGGCGTTTGATGCTGCTCTATTCCCCTCTCTTTATTTAAATAAACTAACTAAGGCTAATTACAATTAAGCGTGTTGATATGGCAATAAAATACACAATCTTATCATTGCCACTAAACTAATAACCTGAGTTTACACCACGGTACGGCTAAATACACAATTTGTGAGAATCACAAAAGAGTGTTTTAACAGACACCTCAGAGACCGTAATGAGATTCACTCAAACTGTCCATGAAAAAAGCAAGACATGTCATTGATACGGTTGTTTTGTGAAACAAACACTATAATAGAATGATTAAATAATGTAAATGTAAGCATATGTCCTTTGTTAGTTACATCAGACCCAACACATTCAGGACATTGACATACTGATAATACGATGGCGCAAAATAGCAACGATTGTGACTCTACAACAAATACAATACAACAAATGCATACAGGCTTTTAAATTCCATATATGCTTTTCAGAAGTGGAGTAACATGTGCTGCATGTTATAATGTATTCAAGCTAGGAGGCCTAAGGATGATATGTGAACCAAACTCACTGCTACATCCTAAACTATACAACATGTACAACAACACCATGACATCATCATCAAATGTACTCTGCTTGTATAACCATGTATTCAGTGTTTTTGATGCACTTTAAATATCCAGACAAGTGGAAATGTGTTATGCCAAGCATTAATGATTTTAATTTGCATAACATCTTTATTCCACCAGGACATTGGTAATCTGTGTTGAGCTTTGAGGCACAATAAACACAGTCCCAGTTGTGAGGAAGCCAGTCATCTCTGGAAGCATTCCCAGGATGCCAATTAAACAGGAAATGAAATAAATGGTGTGAGTGGAGTTGGTGGATGGAGCAATTACACCACAGATACAATTGGTCATAATAAGTTTAATGCAATAAATGTCTTTGAATAGCTCCTACTGTACATCCCATAAACCCATGCAGTGCACATGTATCATTCATGGCCCAGTGTGGGGACTTCTAACAAGTCAGTACAGCTCTGAAGCTCTACTGGGTTCTGATATGGGATGCAATTCTAAAGATGAGAAAGATATGCTTCTGTTTCTAAATGTAGGATACATATGTGATATGCAAACAGATGAAGTTGTGAAGTCAGTGTTGTCTGTGTGGGTGTGTGGGTGTGTGTGTGTGTGTGTGTGTGTGTGTGTGTGTGTGTGTGTGTGTGTGTGTGTGTGTGTGTGTGTGTACCTTTAGGTCCCAGCAGTTGTGCCTCTGTAGCTTTTCTTCCATCTCCACATCGTGCTTCATCAAATGGAGGACATTGTTCACCTGTACCAGCCACTACTTCTCCATTACCTGAAAACACATAGCATCCATAATTACAACATTCCCTATGCTTGAACTTTTCCATTACCATAACAGGAAGATGAATCCACAATACAAAAATAAATGCAACTGGGGAAATTCAGTGCACACTTACTGATGAGGTCACGGGCGCCGCTGAGCATCTTGGGTCTGTAGATGCGGCGGGAGTTAGTGTCCGACACGTACAGCTGTCCTGTGACCGGGTCCGTGGCCAGGTAGTACCGGTGAGCAGGGTTGTTGCTGTGGAGAGGGACAGACCATGTTACTTATTAGACATGTAACACATTCAATACTGTGGACAACACCCTGGGAGTAGTGCACTGCAGTGGGGGTCAAGGTGGGATTGAACCGGTTCACTACACACTGCGCCACAGCCAGCGACTTTATAAGTCACTATCTATGACACCAGTATTTCAAACATTTAAAACATTAAGATAATAACATCCTTCATGATTTACTTGCTCAGATCACACCATGCTGACAATTCACTGCATGATATGAATGCACAAAGAAGCATTTAAACCTAAAGGTAGTTTTGGTTTTAACAATATAACAAATTAGTTTAAAGCATATGATTTACACCCTGCTTCCATTGTTGGAAAGGACATGTTCTAGAGCTCTCTCTGACACACACACACACAACACACACACAGCACACACACACACACACACACACACACACACGACACACACACACACACACACACACACACACACACACACACACACACACACACACACACACACACACACACACACACACACACACACACACACACACACACACACACACACACATTGATATACTTGCCTGTAGCCATAATTCTCAGTGCAGAGGATCCTATGAAGGTAGATATGGTACAAAATGCGAGAGCGTGTACAACCTGATGTGAGCACTCAAAAATCTGAGCTTGTGTGCATACATTTACACTTTTATAAAATATCCACGTAACTGTAAACCAAATTTGAAGTCACAGAAGAAAAAAACAAGTTTTGTAGCTTGTAGAAAAAAATGAACTTAGTGATGAAATGTTCACTTGCAGAAAAATATATCTTTTTAAAATATTTTCCATTACAACTGCAACTTGGTTATTACAACCTCTCAAATCAGTCATTACAACTTCACAAATCTGCTCTGTGGCAGTATAAATCCACGAATCTGCGGCCTTGACTCTTGCTACACTTCTTGCAATGAATGTGTCGCTAAAGTAATTTTCACCTGTAGATGTGGGGGGAGGGAGGGGGGTTGGAGCGAAGGGGCGGAGCTATCAGAATGAGGAGGCGCAAGCTCGGGTCAGTGACTACTGTTTCCCCTTTCACTCCAACGCAGCTGGTTCTAGCTCTGTGCTGCACTCACCACAACAACAACAACAACAACAACAACAACAACAACAACGGGGGACTGCGTCGGGTCGATGATCGTGTTACTTTTAATCATACAAAGCCAGATTAAATTAAATAACTACTTCTCCAACCTTGTACTTTTCTCCAGAGTGCCGTGGTTAATTGTTTATTAATGTGTTACAGCGGTATTTACCGACCTCTGCAGTGCTGCTCTTCCACCGGAGTTTATTCTCCCGTTAACTCACAGCAGCGGCCGCTTTAAAGTAGGCCTATCCACTGTCCGACTGTCACACAAGCAGCTGATAAATATCCCCAATTCCCTTAAGTGAATGTGTTTCAGTATGAATTGACGCCCCTTTGCATCACAACGCTGTTATGAAAGTTTCTCTGGTATACAATGGGTGATGTTACATGTTAGCATAGCAACCGAAGCTAAACTGACTATATTGACTAGGTTGCTTGTAGCTTGTTGCTATAACTTGTGGCATAAGCCCTTTTCTACAGGCACATTTTACCGGCGTATTTTTCATTATGATTCTACTTGTGATAATCGGCAGTAGCGGCGCCAGGGTATGGCTGGGGTAGGCTACAGCCATACCAAGAAATGGCTTAGCCCCACCATGAAAAATGATGTTAAAGTAAGCATGTTCAGAACACGGATTGCGAAAATATACGGATCGTGTCCACAACACATAAACTGATCCTGCTGTAACCACAAGTGCACGTTACTGATGCAATATGGTTGAGACCATTCAGGCTTATGCTAGAAGAGGGGTACAAGGAATAGTCTAAGTAGTGGGGGAGTTTTATACACTAAAGGTGTGGAATTCTCTGGCATTATAATATCAGCGCGGTCAGATCAAAATGCCTCCGAATGCAATTTGAATAGACCTACAGCCAATCAGAGCAACGAAACGTTGGGTCTGCGTCATGCCTTATGACTATCATACGTCACGTTCACAGGGATCCCTTTTTATTTACTACAAGACAAATGTGCCGTTTTATTTCATACAGTTCAATTTTGATTGAGACAGGGAAATAATCTAAACCTCAAGTGTGGCGTTTCACTGTCACGGAGGGCGATATAGCGTGTATGTAATTACATTGCAAATACTGACTTGAGCCCCACCACTGAATGGGTTAGCCCTACCATAGATTACCCAACAAAAATACTCTGGCGCCGCCACTGATAGTCGGACATGACAACCTGTGCAGCCCATGTATTGATTCCATCCGATAGCTGCTATAATACAAAACAAAACGTCTGCCCCCTCCACAATGATCAATAACAGTGAACGGATGGTAAAATAAACAGAATCACACGAAGCCTGGTTACTGGTTAATGTTGCCTGACTTTATAAAGTGTGTTTTTTTTACAAGTGTGTGGTTGCGTTCTAGTCCCTTTGCTCAGCCCTACTGCTTTTTTCAATTTGTATTTGCCGTAGGCTACTCTCCCATAAACTGTTAGTTCAGGTTAATCTCGCCCCCCTCCGACGTAAGTCTGACGTATGCGGTTCTTGCCTAGGCCGACACTTTTTTTGAGCTTGATAAGAACCGGTTTTCGGGGAAAACAGCCGGCTCCGCTGTGGCGTGAACAGGATAAACCGCTGCTTATCAGGCACAAGCTCCGAACCGGCCCTGGAAACGCGTTGGTGTGAAAGGGGCAACATGCAGGGCCCCGCAGTCATCCGGTTCGACCTGAAATGGCTGTGTGACTGACCCGAGCTTCTGATAGCTCCGCCCCTTCGCTCCAACCCCCCTCCCTCCCCCCACATCTACAGGTGAAAATTACTTTAGAGACACATTCATCGCAAGAAGTGTAGCAACAGTCAAGGCCGCAGATTCGTGGATTTATACTGCCACAGAGCAGATTCGTGAAGTTGTAATGACTGATTTGAGAGGTTGTAATAACCAAGTTACAAAATATATTTAAAACAAATATTTGAGTTCATTTTTTTTCTGCAAGCTACAAAACCTTTTTTTCTTCTTCTGTGACTTCAGATTTTGTTCAGAGATACGTGGATATTTTATACAAGTGTAAATGTATGCACACAAGCTCAGATTATTTTATTATTTATTATTTTCTGCAAGTGCTCACATCAAGTTTTACACGCTCTCGCATTTTGCACCATATCTACCTTCATAGGATCACAGCCTCATAATTAAGAAAGCTTAAATTAGACGATTCATTCAAACAAAAGATAAATACAAAAAATAGTGTAACTATTTATTATAAAAGAGCAAAAGATATATATTCAATTGGCCAAGGACTCCGCCACGTCATAGAAATCACAGGCAGCAAAGCTGTAATCTGTAACCACTATTTCCGGAAAGAGCCCCGACCCTCGTCCAACAATACATTTGTATTACACAGGGCTTTGCCCATACATTTATGATTGGTTGAGACTAGATGGAGAGTAACCTTGGTTTAGAATTTGGCTCTCTCTCGTTGGTGCGCAGACTCAGACAGAGTCTCTTGGCAACACAACCTTTCAATCAGCATTCGGCCGGCCTGTGGAAGTCCCTCCCTACTCTGTCGCCATCATACGTCATTTGTTTTTGCCAAAGTTTCTACAGAAAAAGTGGAATCTTCATAATGCTGCTTCCGAGCTATGTGCTCAAGGTCGGAGTGATGACCTGTTTATGAATAACTCTTTGTATTCTTCCAGTGTCTGCACCTGACCTTGCTACTCTGTATTGCAGGCTAAAGACGTCTATTTATCCCAAAGTCACAGCAACATAAATGAGCACAATAAGCTTATAATGTAATAATAAGAATCAGTCTTTCTAATGTTATATAAAAATAGCCTCCACAAGACCTGAAAAACAGGCTCAGGGCTTAACAGGTTAAATGGGTTACCAGCTATAGTCAATTATAATCACTCACAAGAAGTTAAGAGGCAATGTCACAAAGTTCATTTGATTGAAACAACTTTCTACATCACCAAAATTGATCATTCATGTTGCTGTATGTATATTTTTGATCCAGCAGATTTGATCACATTTTCAGAAAAACCATTATAAATTCAAATGATGGAGACCACTGTGCTCGTTGGGACCTTCAATGCTGCAGACATTTTTCTGTACCCTTCCCCAGATCTGTGCCTTGATACAATCTCGTCTCTGAGGTCTTCAGACAATTCCTTGGACCTCATGGTTTGGTGTGTGCTCTGATATGCACCGCCAACTGTGGGACCTCATACGGAAAGGTGTGTTCCTTTCCAAGTCATGTCCAATCAATTTAATTGACCACATGTGGACTCCAGTCAAGTTATAGAAACATCTCAAGGATGATCAGTGGAAACGGGATGCACCTGAGCTCAATGTTCAGTGTCAAAGCAAAGGGTGTGAATACTTATGTGCATGTGATATTTCATTTGATTATTTTTAACACGTTTGCAAACAATTCTTTAAAAACGTTTTCACTTTGTCAGTATGGGGTATTGTGTGTGGAATATTGAGAAACAAAATGAATTAATCCATTTTGAAATAAGGCTGTAACAAAATGTGAAAAAAGTGAAGGGGTATGAATACTTTCCGGATGCACTGTATGTTTGGAGGAGAGAAGGTGAGGCCTTTAACCTCAACATCACCATGCCTACCGTCAAGCATGGTGGTGCTACTATCATGCGCTGAGCATGTTTTGCTGCCAATGGAATAATGGAATAATGAAGCCAGCAGGTTGGGTCTTGGGCACAGTTGGATGTTCCAACAGGACAATGACCACAGACACACATACAAAGGAATGGGATTTAGCCATTGGTTAAGGAGTGGCTAAATCAGGCTATAATTAAGGATTTAGAATGGCTTCCCAAAGTCCCGACTTAAACCTGACCGAGAACATGTGGACAGTGCTGAAGAAACAAGTCCATGTCAGAAAGCCAACTAATTTAGCTGAAATGCACCAATTCTGTCAAGAGGATTGGTCAAATGTTCAACCAGAAGCTTGCCAGAAGCTTGTGGATGGCTACCAAAAGCGCCTAATTGAGGTGAAAATGGCCAAGGGACATGTTACCAATTGTTTTCGTTGCTGTATGTATATTTTTGACCCAGCAGATTTGATCACATTTTCAGAAAAACCATTATAAATTCATAAAATAACCAAACTTCATGATTTTTGTTTTGTGACAAAGTAGTATGTGCTCCAAGTTGTAGAAATGATTGAAAAGTCAAGACTGTCATGAAATACATGTTCTTTACAAGTGTATGTAAACTTTTGTAAAAGTGTTTTTCAAAGGTTTGTGGCCGTGTTCTAATCACTTTGCTCAGCGCCCCTGCCCCCTACGATGTAAGCGTGCCATATGTGGTTCTTGATTCCTGGACGGGCAGTCGAGTGCGGCGAGATAAGAACCGGTTTTCAAGAGCTGGCCTAGCTGCGGTGGAAACAGGAAGAACAGGTGCTTAATCGGGGACTAGCTTCAAACTGGACCTGGAACTACTTTGGTGGGAAAGGGGCAAAAATAAAGGCACTCTGTGGCCCAAACAATATCCTTTAAAATATATAAACTATTAATGAAGAATCCCCAGGTAGTTGCTATGTGGCGATACAGTGGAACACTAACTGGGTAAAGCTTAATATTCAGCAGGGAGAAAGGAAGAGCAGGGGATGATACAGAGCAGCAAACCCTAATGTAATGGGAGAGAACTCTCCACCAAGATTTTAAGCAGAACGGGCCAATGTTGTTTATTTTTTGGGTCAACCCTTATAACCACTTATCTCCATAATTCCCAGAGCACTGTAAAACATTTCTGCCAGGGACCAAAGAGCATATCATAATAATAATAATAATACATTATATTTCTATAGCGCTTTTCTTGAACCCAAAGACGCTTTACATTATGAGGGAGGGTAGACAAACAAGGACAGGCAAAAACAAACAACAAAACAAAAAACAAAACAAAAACCCACACAAGTTTACTTGTACATATCTACATGTGTGAATAGACCTTTTCACACGTCAACACTGTAATGAATCCCTTGTGCTGTCAGCTGTCAACAGACCCTCAGTGCAGCTGGATCATTTATAATGAGACTGAGCAGCAAGAGGAGGGGCCAGGAATCACAGCCCCCGTTACATTTGACTTCAAGAGTCTACTTCACAACATGATTTAGAGTGTGAGAAAGAGAGAGAGACGAAAGCAAAATGCTTTTGTTTGGCCTCTCGCACGTTGTAATTTCACACCCGGAACTTTCCAAAAAAGTCCTGAGTGTTTTGTCTGCCTCACTTTTCAAATGTGTTGATTTGATGATTTTTGTTCTTCTTCGACTAGGAAGATATAAAAACAGAGAGGAATAACGGCCAGCAGCCACGGCCAACATTTCAGCTCCAGCACATCTCTCCTTGCTGGGGGCGCCTGCTCAAGAGATGACTTCATCTGAGCTGACACCAGGAGAATAGGCTGGGTTTTGTGTGAACAGAGAGGGAAAGAGAATTAGAGAAGAAATGTGCAAAAAGGTGAGGGCTTATCTGATGGTAGCATCATCAGGGCTGTGTTTTGTAATTCCTTGCCTTTGCCCCATTCTGCCACGTTAGGTGACAGTGCAACATTACTGCTCAGTTATTATATCTTTTCAACTTCTTTCATTCACATCGGTGAGTAAAATGTGATCATGGCAAATAGAAACTAAAGCCAAAACTACAACAAATAAGACCAAAGTTGTGTTTAAGCTGAATTACCCTTTCAATGAAATGGACCAAGGCAGTCTGAGGTAGTAGACTGTTTTTAGCCCACTGTCAGTAGATCTGACCTGTTTGACAGTCCTTCTTCCCTACACGATATCACTGCATCCTGAAAGCATTACTGAACTTCAGGAAGAATATACAAATGCAAAATGAGCTTGCTCACTGCTTGATCCAGCTCAATGTGTCCTTGACACTCTGAGTCCTTGGGCTAAGGACGTTAGCATGACGCTGACAGGAATGAGCATCAATGGCTGTTCTTATTTAAAAGGAGGAGAGACAAACGGAGGAAGTGTGCACTAGAGTCTGGTGTATAATCAGCATAATTGGACAGTGCAATGTAAATATGGTTAGGGGTTAAAAAAGGATTAGTCACTCTTACCTATGTCTGAAATCTTTGTTTCTTTAATAGAGTGCACGCAAAGGAGGAAAGAAGGAACAAGAGTTAGTAGAAAGGTCTCTGACAGGTATTATGACAAACATCACAAGAAGAAAGTCTACTCGAAAACAATAAAACAACACCAAGAATTTGCAACACAGAGGTCGATATGAACATATATTTGAATTAGTTTTGTAATAGGCATGTTTTAAAATTCAGAGCACTAAACTGTGATCTTTTAGCTTTTAGCACTAAAGAGAAAGTACTCAGATGTTCATTAGTGGCAAAGAGTCAGGCCATGCATCTATTCCTCTCTTCCTTTATGTTGTCAAGTACTGTTGAAAGGCGTCCAACATTACAGATGTTCAGCAGTCAGTACAGAAAGGAAAGATCACAGAGAAGACGAGGCAGGAGATGAAGTCAGATGCTCGGTTATACTTAAAAACGTTCAAGTCCATCAATTCATTTTCACAAATGATTTAGCTCATGTTTTTTGAACAACATTCACATATTTGGAATGACCCTGAGAAATGATTTTGTCAAAGCTTTACTTTAAATGGATCCTGAGTTGAGACCTATATCTCTGGGTCACTCGAGAATGTATTCCCTGGTTATGGCTTAGATCCCTGATCTGGCAAGAGCAGGCAGCCACCCCCCCCTTACCTCAGCTCCATGACACTGGTAACATTCCCAGAGGGGAAGATCCTCCTGATGTAGTTGAAGTCTCCCACAAAGATGCTGCCATCGGCTCCGCAGGCCAGAGCCAGGGGGGCCAGCAGCTTGTTGCCCTCCGCCTGCCCGTTACAGCTGGGGCAGGAGATGCTGCGGCGGCGGCCGTTTCCTGGAAAGGATCATTTTTACTCACAGGGACTTTCAGTTTCTGCTCATTAAAAATACAATTACCAGTTGGGAGCAAATTACATATTAATCTGTAGAGAAGTTAGCTAGAACTTTTTGAAAGCCATTACGTCC